AAAGGAAGGGAAAAGAAAAGGTAAGTGGCACGACTGGGGGTTGAGTAGGAGGATCTGTTGAGAGCCAATGGAATCCTACCTGGGATGTTATATCGATTCACTACCACCACGCCTCCCTCCCACAAATACAAAAGTAATTACCCCGCAGCTCAAATCTTGCAATATTCCAGTTGTATCATTGAAATAGAACCGTCAAATTCGATCGAAATCATGCAAAACACAGAATTCAATTTTATATTAATAAAAATTATGAAGACGTGACTTTATAGTCTGGTATAAATGGTGCATGTGCCTTCTTAGGCAGAAGTGCCTTGTCAGGTGTTCAACCAGAATCCTGTTTCTTTTGTAAGTATGGGCAAAAAGTATGGATGACCCTTCTATGAATCTCTTCAGGTGACTCATCCCTAGGGTATTGTTCCACCAGGATTTAAACTCATTACAGATCCATTTTTGGAAGTGTTTTTTTTGTGGCAAGATGGTAGGCCGCAATGGGTTTAGGGTCTAGAAAATTTATATGGCTCTTTTTTGACCCGCTTGTCCAGGGATCCATGCAAAGGTCACGTCTTTGGTGTCATTGACTTCTGCCAGGGCTTTCATACAATACCGTACGCTTTCTTGCTGAATAGACTAAAACAAATAACAGCGAGATTAGGCGGACCAGAATGGACTAACAAATAAAATCCTTTATCCTTTAAAAAATTGAATGTTGCGATACAGGTTAATACAATACAACTTGCGAATATACCTCGACTTTAACAAAGTTATTTGTGTGTCTGTAGCAAAGTTTTTATTTAAAAAAAACTTTCTTTTATGAAATATTTTTCGTTTTCATAAGACATACTATGCACCATACATATTATTGCAAACTTTATTTTTTTGGTTTAATTGAATGCTTAATATCGAATTACACGCGTTTTGTCTGGTAAAATGTCATCGATTGTGACAAACCAGCTATTTCCTCAACAATATAACAAATATACTTAATGTATGTAAAAAGACTCTATTTTTCTATTTGAATGGGAAAGAAAACTAAAGAAAAAACAGTTTAGATATGACTAAAATTTACTTACAACTCACGTGGAAAGATGTTATTTTTGTGAAAATTACAATTTGGATAGAATAATAATGCTGCTTAAATCGCCACATGCGAACCGAAGGTTTTCATGTAATTAAATAGTTTCTCAGACCTTCCTAGTTAACGCTATGTACCCCAGGGTAGTAACCGAGGTCCTATCCTATACTTAATTTACACTCACGATATCCCTGCATCACCTAAAACAATTACATCTACATTTGCTGATGACACAGATATCATTTCCTACCGTTCTGATCCTGTCATCCCACAGAAACATTTAAATTACATTTCCTTGTTGGAAGATTGCTATTAGAAGCGGGAAAATAAAAATAAACTAGACCAAAAGCAGGTTAACTGTTACACTTCGACGCATCATACTACCTCCTCTCAACTTTAGCAACATACTCCTTCCTATGTGCGTTACCTGGTACCTTGATTTCTAGATAGACGACTGTCCCCACATTAAAAAAATACTGGAACTAAAACCTATTCACCAGACTGCTTTGTTTAAACTGTTATTGCTCCAGTATCCGTAGTATCCAGATCCAACATTCCAAGGTCGGAGCATTGCCTACAATTCCTGGTAAAAACCAGATATCTTAAATTCCAGTCGACCCTTTCGAATCATCCCATTGTAACCCTGCTTGCATTCTCTACTATTCAGAATAATCCCGATAATAAAAGGAACTGGCCCTGCGATTTCTTGGTGTAAGGTAAAAGTGAATTTTCATATTGGAGCCACACCGGTGGGTAATACTTTTTAAAAAGGATAGTTCCTACTCACATTAAGTTGTTTTGCAACGATCCGGATTTCGAGCCTTTTAGCTCATCATCAGGTTCGACTCAAGCCAACGCGACGTTCCAATTAGCAGCTGATTTTTTTAATGGCGCTCAATTTGAACGTGCGAAACGCGGAAATTATAACACAAATAAATATTATACTAGTAAATACTTAATATTATTAAATTACTATAAAAATTAAAATAAATTAGTTTAATTATTTGGATGTTTGATATTATTTATGTACATATTTAAAATGGGAGGTAGATAGGAGAGACGTGATTGTGGAAGTCCTTCAACCTGATGATGAGCTAAAAGGCTCGAAATCCGGATCGTTGCAAAACAACTTACTGTGAGTAGGAACTATCCTTTTTAAAAAGTATTGAACACCACACTCACTCCATCATTTATCATTTCCACCTTTGGGTATTCCGTCATATAACAAAGTCATGATTGTATATATTTATTTATCATAATTTTATTAGAACTGTGAATGAAAATCAAATGAAATATTGTAATTAATGGTGGACGCGAAAATGGCTGAGCATCGGTAAATATTTGAATAATTTATTAAACAAAATTTTTTTTTTATGCAGATCATTTCTTTGGATTAAAATGTGTCTGTCTCTAAATGTTTCTGAACGTCTCCGGTGTACGTCAAAAGATTACAGAATTACATAGCATTTTGTCCAACATAACTAAGAGCTACATAAACGGCGCTGCGAGTCTACAGTTCCGCTTAACACGAACGTTTGATGTGCATCCGACGTTTTTAAGTAAGTGGAAGCACATTTTATACCTGCCAGAGGAGAGAAAGTCTTTAAGATTGCTGAGTCGAAAATTCTTACATCCTCTTCAATTTACAACGACACCCTTAGGAAAAGTTACCAAATCTTTGTCCACGTTATAAAAGGGTGTTTAAAAAGAAGCATGTGTCTATTTATGATGGGGAGTCACTTGACTGGGAAAAATCTCTTTGTTGGCCAACTGTGAGTTCTAATGGAGCATTTGTTGGTGAGTTCATGACGTCACTTCCGTCTTGACAATACCCACTTGATCGCCCTCCTACTTCCTTTCATATAAAGCCTTTCGGGTCTAGAAGAGCGTGAGTAATGTCATCAGAGGTACCCCACCTCAAACAATTTCCCGCTATACCTTTTCAAACTTGCATATGGATTGGTATTCCATTTCAAGCTACATTTAACTTCGACGTTATTGACCGAATGATTCTAACTAAAAAGTTTTCAAAAAAGACTTTTAAAAAGATTCAGACAACAATATTACACATCACCTCAACCTAGACCTTACATAAAAAATGCTTAATTAAAAGAAGTAATTTGGTCAATTAGACCACTAAACAAAATGTATTTAATAAATTTCAAGATTGATTTTCGTTTAAAACTGGCAAATTCACTTATTCCATTGCTTTTGTGGTTCTTTGAAATACCTAACGATATCAAATAGATGATTGATTGAATCAGATAGGTTTAGTTCAAAATTTAAATAATAATTTCATTGCTTTTTCTTAACAATTTGCAATCGTTTTGTCTACTTTTGGAAATGAATAACTTTTCATTTTCAAACTTTAAAATTTGTTTACATCGTCAAATCATTTGTTGAGTAAAGAGACCCAAAAGCTTGAAATGATACATGGCCATTTTTCTATGTTAAGTTCCTGGTTGCTTGCGCGCGCGCGTGTGTGTGTTTGTGGTGTATGTAATGAATAGTATATGCCTTCATATTTAGAGCCAAGATGACTATTTTCCTAGAATTGACCCTGTTAATTTTAATTTAATATAATTATTGAACTGATGTCAATTATGATTAATTAATGACAAATAATTAAAAATTATAGATTCAATTGATTTATATGCTTCTAAAATTATTTTGAAGTTTTATACTGAACTTCATTCCAGCATATGCAGCACTCTGCACCAGTTTATTACTTATAAAACATACACATTACTTATATACAGGGTACTAATTCGAATGTAGTGGGTTCCAGTCCAGCTCTTGACATGCATTCTTTGCATAAAAGTTAAACCTCCTCTACTGCGGTGGTATTAGATCACTCATATAATACTGTTGGGTCGGATCTGAACCCCCTCCCCATATTTTTGAACCATTTTTTCCCCAAAAACGCTTTGAACACGTAGAAAATGGATACTAATATTTCTGTAAAGGAAGAAGATAACAAAATTAACAGCATTCCAATCAAATATAATTTTTATTTACAGATTAAAATCGGTCCTGGTAACCTCAGTTCTGGTAAATCAGTCTTACAGTTTCAGACTCAAAAATTATCACAATTCTGTTAGAAAATTCATAATTTGAACGTCATATAAAAATATAAAAAATTAACATGAAATGGCAAGAAAATAATCACAATCATCACAAAATTTCAAAATCATAATCACAAACTTTCTTCAACGTAGGTCGAGGAACAGTCGGGGCAAAGCAAAACGTTATGTTCCCCCCCACATTGATTTTTCAAAGTATGCACAGTATGAGTTTCCTTTCCTGTCAATGACGCAGAAGTCGCACCGTCTCCTTTTTTTGGTCGTACTATTGTCAGAAGATGCTGCCTGTCTTTTTAGCTTCTTGCCTAGCTGTTTGCCTATCATCACTCTTAGATTCCTCGGAAGACGTTCGCATTAGCGAATCTTTTCTCCATCCATGGCTTAGTCAACGCAATCGCTAAATTTTTGAGAATCGTCAACTGTATCGTGTTAGTGTATGGTTAAAATGCCAAAAAGGGTTGCCAAACTAAGTAAATAAACTACAGTGGGGTCAAATCTGACCTACACATTTCTACTACAGTTGGGTCTGATCCGACCAAAGGGGGTTAAGTGAAGTACAGTACGTACCTTATCGACGTGATCGAGCCAACAGCTTCCTAAAAATTTCACCTGGGTCAGATCCGACCCACTGTAGTAGAGGAGGGTTAATATATATTAAAAACTGGTTAAGATAACTAATAAGAAGAGTTTATTACTTGACTTCAATTTATATCATGAACATTAAACATATTTCATTAATATTACAATTAAAATATTTTGTAGTTATAATTATTTATATGCAATTTTAAGGCTGTAAAATTATGTGTTGTTTTAGTTTTAATTGATGACTGTTTCACGCTGCTCAGATCAACCAAACAGCAAAGGCCGTTGTAAGTTAACCGACTTTTGTTTTTGTTTAAAGAAGAACATGCCTGTACAATTGTGCAAGTACGCTTGTTAAATTTGTTGATTACATACACTAAATTTATTCAAATGTTTTTCAGGAGCATGCTATAAAGAAAATTAACGTCACTCATAAACATTCAACTCCTGTAAGTTGTCACAAAAGTAAAAATGCCATCTATGTTTTGTCAAAACTTCTAATTTATGTTAATTTACAGTTTCATTGGTCAGTTGGTATGGAAAGTGCTGTAGACTCTTCATTTTTCTGGGGCTATCTTGTAACACAAGTTCCAGGTGGCTTTTTGGCATCAAAATATCCAGCAAATAAGTAATTATTTTATTTTAACTTTAATTTTTCATCAAATAACGTAACATATTTATTTCAAAGGATATTTGGTACTGCAATAGCCACCTCTTCGTTCCTCAACCTTCTTCTTCCAGTGGCTGCCGATACACAGCCATTGTTTATAATCATTGTCCGTGTTCTTCAAGGTCTGGTCGAGGTAATAAATCAGAATAAAGTCAACTTTTTTAATTAAACAGTTAAAGTATATTCCTTTAGGGTGTCACATATCCCGCCTGCCATGGTATTTGGAGATATTGGGCTCCACCCCTTGAAAGAAGTCGTTTAGCGACACTAGCATTTTGTGGAAGTTATGCAGGTGTTGTGTTAGGAATGCCTCTCTCTGGTGTCCTAACAGCCTCTATAGGATGGCAGGCTCCATTTTACTTTTATGGTGAGAACTATTTAACTTTTATTATTTACTAATTATTTATTATTTGCCTTCAATAAGATCAGCCCTATTTTTAATTTTAAACATACTTTCTTGGATGTTTAATGATAATTTAAAATGGTTCTACTCTTTCAGGAATGGTGGGTCTTATTTGGTATTTAGCATGGCTTTGGTTGGTATTTGAAAAACCATCCAAACACCCAACAATATCTGCTCGAGAATTGTATTATATTGAAAATTCTTTAGGCAAGTTTTAAGATAATTTTATTGTTTAAAAAATATGTATATAATACTAGTTTATTATGTATATAATAATGTATGTATATAATAATTGTTCATAGTACTTGTTTTTCATAAAAACATTTATTTTTAAATTAAAGGATTAAAATAATTTTATAAAAATATATATATTATTAAATTGTTATATTATTTTAGGTTCAACTAACCAAGTGTCCATGCCAACCCTTTCAACAACCCCTTGGGACAAATTTATGAGATCTATGCCCGTTTATGCCATAATTGTAGCAAATTTTTGTAGATCCTGGAATTTTTATTTACTAGTTCTTTTCCAAGCATCATATTTATCTACCTCATTTGGTTTCAAGATACAAGAGGTAATGTTTAAATGAAGTTTTGTTGCCATTGATTTTTGTTTAATGTGAAATCATTTTAGACGGGCTTTCTGGGAGCTCTTCCACATTTGCTGATGTCCATTATTGTGCCTTTTGGTGGTCTCTTAGCTGACTATGTACGAAAAAACGGTATCCTGTCAACAACAAATGTTAGAAAGGTGTTCAACTGTGGAGGCTTTGGGATGGAGGGTTTTTTCTTTGTAGTCGTAGCATATTCAACTTCTGCAGTTTCTGCTAATGTAGCATTAACTCTGGGTGTAGCATTTAGTGGATTTGCAATATCAGGTATAAATTATGCAAAAATAACTGTTTTTTAATTGATTTAAATTTTTCATTTCTATGCAGGATATAATGTTAATCACCTCGATATTGCACCTAGATATGCAAGTATATTAATGGGCATGTCTAATGGCATCGGAACCATTGCAGGCTTAATCTGCCCCATTGTAATAGATCATATTACAAAAGATCATGTAAGGGTAACTTTACTTTTACGATGTACATCAATTTATGAATAATATAATATTTTTTAGACAAAAGGATCGTGGAAAGTAGTTTTCCTCATGGCTGCTACTGTCCATTTCATTGGAATTACATTTTATGCCATCTTTGCCAGTGGTGAGCTTCAGCCATGGGCAGAACCCCCTGATGAGAAAAAGAAACAATGGGATCCACTCGAAGGGGCAAGATCTCCTACTGAAACAACAACAATGGTACCAGCTAAAAATCCATTCTACATGAAAAACTATTTCCCCACATTATATAATAAATTATTCAAAATTTCTCCAGGATGGAAAGACAGTTGGTTATGGTGCAGTTGACATGGGTTATACAAACCATGTAATGACAACAGAAACCGTCCAACCAGAAAGTAGAGATGAATACATGTATGGTGCAGTGGAAGAGAGGTCAACAACCCAGCAAAAATCTTACAATCCCTTCCTTAATGATTAAAACAACGGCCTATTAAAAAAAGAAATGGTAAGAAAACATTTAAAAATAATATTATTAAACACTTTATTATTTGAGACATGTTACATCAGATGTGAGAAATAAATCAATGATGAGGGAAACAAATTAACAATCTGTCATATCAATTTAAAAAAAAATAGATGGAAATTTTAGAAAAGTTGAAAAGTTTAGAGGAACGTTGCCAAATGCTTTTATATAATCTTAGCTGCAAACGTAAATTTCTAGAAATCAGAATTAAGAATTTTACAAATATCTAAACTTATCTATGTATTAGTCATTATACAAATAATGTTTTAAAGGTGTAAAATCTTAAATATATTTAAAGGAAGTGATAATTAATTGATGTAAAATATATGTGAAAATGTTTGTATAATTAATATTTCAGGGTGAAACGACAAATAAGCCTAATGCATGAATGTACGAGTAGATAGATATATCTTAATGACTATTGATTTAAATATAATTTTTTTATTCAAAAAGTGCTTATCGATGTAATTTTAATATACGTGTAGATTTCAATATTTTATTTATTAATTTTTTTTTATTTTATAAAAAAACTGAAACCTAATTTTACATTATCAAAAAAATTATTATTTTAAATAGCTTTTTATAGTTGCAAAAAGCCTTATTAAACAAATTGCTTAACAATATTAGCAAATAAATGCATATACTCTTAGTTCCTTCCATTTATTTTTTTGAATAAGAGATAAATTATGATGTTTATATATTTTAGCTTATTAAGTAGACTTAAAATTTCTAGATATTAAAGAAAAACTTAGGCATTAAGAAACCAATAATAGAGTTTTCACTCAAAAGGCTGTGTCGACAATAATTAGCATGTAAGAAATAATATTTTTATTCATTGTAATGGATTATACTATTATAAAAACATAATTTTATAATCCATAAGCTATTGCCACATACGCTTGCATGTTGCAATCTTGTTTTTTTCACATAAGAAGATAAAATATATTTAAAAGTATATCAATGATTTATTTATGTATGAAATAATTTAAAACATTCATTTTTCAATTAACTTATTAAAGATAAAACTCAGTATCAGAAAGAAACTTTTTAATACTTATAACTTATGTGTTACATACTTTAACAAAAACTGTGTTGTTTTAATCAAAGAATTGTGATTTTTAAAATTAAAGTATATAAAATTAATACATTTTGTAGTTACATCAAGTTAGAATAAATAAATTTGAAAGCTGGAAATTCATTGGTATACAAATGTGTTTTATCTTGCAGCAAACAAACATTTAGTGGCATGGTGCTGTGTGCGATCTCTCATGAGTGCTCTATTAAACTTGAACAATAAAGTTGACAATAAAACTCATAATGTGCTTAGTATTATTCAATAGCATATTTTTTTAGAAAAACCTGACAATAATTAAAATTGAATGCTCATTTGAATATTGTACTTCTCGTGCCTAACATGCAATCTGTGAAATTATTTTGAAACCCTTTTATGAAATTATCAAGACCATTAAAAAACAAAACTGTGATAAAATGCTTAGCAACTATTTTTTTTTTAATATTGTTTTTATTGCGTTTTATGTATTTGTACTAACACTTTTTCTAGTACTTCTTGATATTATTATTCTTTCATACATCTTCAACTACTTATTCTATTTTCCAGAAATTCTTCTTAAACAAGAGGAGCACTTTATTTCAAAATAAGTCTGTTTGTATAATATACTTTTCTAAATTGTATGTCTCCAATTGCACTTGTTATTTATCTGCATGAAAACTAAGCACTTTTATGATTCAAATTGCACTGTGCTTATAACCACACTGCACTGCATGAAAATCCAATATGTAAATTGTATATACACCAGCTAAGTATAATGGAGCACCAGAGTCTAACTTCGAATATGTAAATATTTTCATCACTTTAGTAAGTGTGCACCTATCTTTAACGCAATTATCACCCTAATAATCCTATGTAAATTAAAAACATATAGACAATAAGGATGTAGAATGAATGTAACTTGCAATTTGCAGTGTGTGAATGAAATGTTTTAATTTATTTAAAATGCATGGAATCATCGAGTAAAAGATATTCTTAATTCTGATATCTACTGCAGTATAAATAATAAAGACAAACGTAGCCCCAGAAAAATATATAGTTGTGTATTGCATTGTTCAATACTTGTCATATAGCAATAAATTTAACAATTTAACAAGTTCTAAATGTAACCGATCAAGAAAAATAATAGTATATGATTAAATAAAAACGTAACTTTTATGTTGTACTAACAAAATTAAACTGTGGCATATGTCGTAATTTTATTTGGATATCATAAAATATATATATATATACACATTAAAAATTATATTGAAGTGATTTAATATTGAAAAATGGTTACTATAAAGTAACATATTTATAATCCATTGTTTTAGAATAAAAGATGTTTTAAACTATAAGTGTTTGTTTAAAAAGGAATTTATATTTCTGTTAAAAATCTGTTTCCTAACTGAGATCAAAGGCTACTATTATCAAAGACTGAAAAGTCGGGGAAACATCTGCAATATTAAAATTAAGTATTTTTTGTCAATTTAAACTCAGAAATATTAATGTGAATAGAATAGGTGTAAAATTGTAGTTAAAAAAAAATTGAATGTATTATTGTACTTTTGAAGCAATTGATACCTGTATGAAGCTATTACAGAGTAGTACGTATTTGAATCCTACTCTTAATTTATGGATCGATTGAATTGTGTTACCAATATTTGTTGATTTGTTATATGTAATGTAGTTACCTTAAAAAATTATATTTAAAAACCTTTTGCAAACTCAATGTTATTCAGTATTTCTTTACTGATATCTAGTTTAAAAAAAATATATGTAGTATTAATTATAACACAGATAATAAATGTAATCAATTACAAATTCTACAATTATTTTTTAAATTTTGAACTTATTTAATCAGTATATGTGGAGTAGTTGGCATTTGTTTTTTGAAGTAATGGGTGAATGAATTATCTTGCAAATATGTAAATTGTAAAAAATGAAAATATCTCTTCTTAAAACTACCACACAATTTATTTTCTTTTGGATTAAAAACAGACTATTTGCATTTTTAAAAATTCAACAATTTAACTATAGTAAATTTCTTGTACATGACCTTTATTGCAAAGTTAACAATACTAAATGACAATAACATTTTGTGCCATTAAAAGTTTAAAAAAAGGTAAAAATAGTCCAACAAAATATAATATACCATCATTATTTCTTAAAAGTATTATTTGATGTTGTATGAACTTTTCTTATTTTGTTTAAAAATTGTTCAAGTAGTTACCAAAATTGTTAGTTAATAAATGATAACTTATAATGCTGTGTGCGAATAATTGTTAAGCTATTGGGTTGGTGTAAATTTTCTTTAATGTCAACATTATTTTATGAAAAATAAAATTAAAGTTTGAGAATGGTCATTTATATTTTCCTGTTTTACTGCAATATTACCGGGATTGAACAACACAAGTAATCTTTTCTTTTTAATTTATTTTACAGTTAAAACTAAGCCCACCAACCATGGTTTTTTTTTTATTAATGTGTAGTTAGAGGATTTCAGTTTTTTTTTAATTTTGAATGCATGTATATGTAATAAGATTTCACAAAAAAAGTGTGACTTTTTGGCTTGGGTTGGGAAAACATTTGGCAGGCAAAAATAATAATAATAAATTAAATAAAAAATAATAAACAGAAATTTTATGACTTATAAATCTATTGTACAAAAGGATTTTTTACTTCAAATCATTGCTGCAATTTGATTTTTAATTGGTCAAAAAATGACAAAGTTTGGACAAGAAACCTTATTTGAACTGCTACTACATGTTTAATTTTTTACAAAGATAATGTTTTGTTTTTGTATTTTGTTTTGTTTAAAGATAAATTATTGAAAATAATGTCTAATTTAGGTGTTTATTCAGGAACTTACAGCCATTTCAAAATATCCTTTTATTATATCGATATAATAAAAGAATAAAAGGATATTTTGAAATGGTTCTAAGTTCCTGAAAAAATACATAAAAAGATCTTAAAACAAGCAAACAACCAAGAAGAAAGAAGAGAAGAATAATGTCCAATGCCAAATTAAAACGATCAAAAAATCCCATGGAATGGGTATCAACCTAGATTTCATGTTGAATTGCATGTAACAACATGTACAAAAATTAGGTCTCTCTCTAACTACCATTGTGGGGCATCCATCAAGTGGATTATCGTTCTTTATCATTGTTACAGAGAGCAACATCTAGTAAAGTTCGTAAATTCTCTCTCAAGAAATTTAGAAACTCCGTTTAAATTATTTTGGTAGAAATAAGGACTAATTAATTTATCCCTGAGTTCACACCAAACATTGATAATGTGAACTTCTTGGTTTCAACAAGGGTACATAATTTGACGGTTTTTCTCAGCCAACGTTCAAAAATTCTGCTGATTGAGTATACAATGTGTAGTGAATTTTGTTTTATCACTCCAGTATAGATGTTTGGTAGAATGTTTTCTTCAGTTTCCAAATTGACATTTCCACAATGAACATTAGGCACCTGTCATACTCAGTACGTGAAGCCCTGGACAGGATGTGACCGATATCGCTTCAAATGGTAAGTTTGGAGTACACCTCTAATTATGTTCTTTGAAAAGGCCAAAACGCTTCCAGTATTTTAGATTGAGAAATTTGTTTTTTCACAATCATACAAAATATCCACAGTAGTCGAGTAACTAGTGTGATATTCTTAGCTTGTAGACCCCAAGGTCGTGGGTTCGACCCCACCTCTCCCCTGACACTTTTATTCACGATACTTTTGTCAAAAACAAAAAATTAATGAAAAAAATGCATATAATACTACTAATCTGGCTGTTGCCAATCAATTTTATCTGCCTATCCTCTCTCGGTTGGTCTGTCAGATGCATTTCAGTTTTTTAAACAATATATTTGGTAGGATCGAGTATGGTCCCGAATATATAAAAGGCTTTGGACCACATCCCTGAATATATTGTTGAATAACAGCTGGTCGGATCACCTTTACATACTTTTAGCTTTTTGGTATCTTCAATGCTGGGTCTGGTTGATTTTGAAAGGTTGAATGCAAAAACCCATCTGATAGACAAACTCAGTGAGAATAGGTAGATCATAACGATCAGTGAAACAAATTACAGGGTACTATTTGTTGAAGCTAAAATCATATAACTAATAATATTTCAAAATTACATTTTGCTTAGAAGACTTGTTATACAAATTTAAAAAGGCTTTGTTTTTATTTAAGTATGTAAAAAGTAAGGATTTCCCATGTCCAACTTACTGATTTCCCATGTTTTATGTCCAACTAACCACTGGATGTCACAAACATGGGGTTGAAATAACTTTACAATAAATACTTTTTTCAAGTTTATTAATAATTGTAATTCCAAGGGCTATACGAGACGTATCCTTCAATGATACTGTGATATCTGACTTGCTAGCATGGCAAATACCAGTGTCGGACACCCTAACCTATGTGGTACCCTTAGAAAGTATACTGTTGAGAGATTAAAGTACTTATTGAATTAAGCCGGTAGTATGGTCTCATTAAAACACCCAAAACAGTAACCAGACAAAAGATTTCCTTTGCAGAATTTAATTTCCTTTTTTCTTTTTCTACCAGATCAGGTCTAGGGGGATTAGGAGAATGAATTTCTAGGTGTGGTATCAAAAAAAAAACGTACGTTAACATTTACCAATAAAAACTGGCAACAGTTTATACAAATAGATTCTTTATGTACAATCAAAAGTTGTAGGTTAATAAAAATTATAACCCACCTCAAATGAAATAAACATATAATTCAATTTTCCATAAATTGTTCATATTTTTTTAAAATAAGTAAATATCTTGGAAATTTCAATTGATAATACTTAATTTTACAAACAACAATTACTTGTCTTTTTTGACTGTATAAACATCATTAAAAGACCTGCTCTAACATCAGCTAAAACCAATGTCCAATGTTTTTATTTTGAGTCACACAGCAAATAAGGTCAAATATTGTCATTTTAAGTCAACATAATATCTGAAATATGTTCCCTATTAAATCATAATATAAAACAATGTTATCTAATAAAATATAATTAAGAAAATTTGCAATGAAAACCCAGTATTCTAACATTTGAATATATTAATAAACAAAAGAATAATGAAGCAATTAATTAATTTGTACTATGTGATCATGTAAATAATCTCTCCTACAAGTAATTTCTTGAAAAACCAAGAAAATAATTAAATGCGAAGTATATAAAATAACATTCAAATTCATTTCAATCTAAACAGTTATATAAGTAATTCGTATACACAGCAGTGATTTTAAAAATGTACTTAATGTCAATAAATGTTAAACGTTTAAAAAAAGAGAGAAAAAATATCAAAAATGAATGTACTCCATCATCTTTATGTTTTTTGTAGGTCAAAAGAAAGATCACATAATTATTATTAATAATGTAATGTGTTAATCACATTAACAAAAGTTGCTAATAGTTTGATGTTATAACATGCAAATTAGTTTGTGTTTTAAGTTATCAACCTCAAAATATTTAATGTAAAGACAATGCACTTTATATCAACTAAATTTTTAGTACATGATTGTCCTTCGTTGTATTTGCATAATTTTTTTCCATATGTAAAGATCAGATTTAAAAGAAACTTTACCCCTATTTTTTATTTAAAGTTCTAAGGTTTCATGATAAAAAGAATAATGTAATGTGTTAATCACATTAAAAAAAGTTGTCAACAGTTTGATGTTAAAATATGCACATTAGTTTTGAAAATAATTAATGTAAAGACAACACACTTTATACCAACTAAATTTTTAGTACATGTTTGTCCTTCACTGTATTTACATTTTTGCCATGTATAAAGATCAGCTATAACAGAAACTTTCCCCATATTTTTTGTTAAAAGTTGTAAGGTTTCATGAAGAAAGGATCTTCATAAATAACTGTCGAAGAATTTCCTTTACGATTGTTATGTCTTGTTACATCATCGTTAAATCTTAGGTGTTTGGGCCGCAAATGTTTTTGATCTGCATGACGTTTGTGAGAGTGATTATTGAGCCGTTTCTTTTCATGGTGGAATTCTCCGTTAAGTTCATAATTATGATCTTGATTAGATGATCTTTTGTCTAACCTCTCTGAAAGTTCAGGTGTGCTATGCTGAAATTGATTTTGATGCTTGTCCGGATGTCTATTTAGTCGAGAGTACGGTTTCATATGTTGGCCGTAAGATCTTTTAAAACAATTCATACCTCTCAGAGTGTCATCATACTTATTTTGAGGTGGTGCAAACCTGTTTACATTAATATATCCAATCAAAATTGGCTGAGGAGTATAAGGCCCAACAAGTGTGCCTTTTTTTGTCCTTATTGTTAACATACGTCCATAAAGTGATATATTGTTCATTAAAGCAATTGCGTATGGCACTGAGCACGCATGCTTAAAAACAACAAATCCGAAAGCCCTTGGTTTTCCGTTGATCTGGGGGATTGACACTTCCTGTACTGGACCAGCCTAAAAAGTAAAATTATTCAGTTAATATTTTCCCAACAAAAGTAAATAACAATTTTCATAACAATATAACAGGTGAATTTTTATTTTTTTAGTAATTGAAGATGTGGAATATAGTCAAATTATTCTTTCTATTTTTCTTTGTAGAAAGACAAAAATCAATATTTGAATTTTTTAAAGTAAATTTCTACAAACAAAAGGGCTCCAGAGCAATTTAAGAGTAACATTCTATAAAGTTTGGTTAAAAACATAATGTGCACACCATTTACTATTGATGGAAATACTCCATTTACTACAACAAAAAATTGATTGAAATTGTTACTTTACATTATAAAGGGGACATTAAATAAGATTCGTGAAGATAAATAAACACTCAAAACTTAGGCTTTTCAGAGGGGCTAGTCCATTTTGCTCAGGTTGTAAGTGCTAACTTGCTATTTCATGTGAATAAGCCTAAGAGAATAGAGAGAAAAGAACAAAAATAATACACTACAGAAATAAAACTCTATATAATATTTGTTTTGTTAATAGCTGTTTTATATTTGATCACATAAGGGGAAAAAAACTGACAATAGCAAATACTCGCATATTTCATCAATTTCTTCAGTGACTTCATATCCTGGGGCCAAAAGTCTTGATACTTACTATTTTATTTTTCTTATTATACTCCTTGTAAATCAAAATTTTAAATAACACATCACCATTTTGAAATATGTTTCAAAATGAGTCTTTTAAACTTTCTAAAATATTTAAACTCTGCATTAAAAAAATATTGAAGTAATAGTTACAAAATTTTAATTTGATAGTCTGAATTGCATCATTTTCCTGAAACCATAGTACTGCAATGTAATGGTTGCTAAATGCTAAACGTCCAACATTTGTTGGATATTTGTTTAATAAAAGCCATATTTGATGTATAAAGCTTCAATAATTTTGCAACATAACATTTGATCTGCAAATAAGAAATAATAATCAATGTGGAGGTGGCTTGATAAACTTGAAATGTGATGACACAAGTCAGCAAATGGGGTTGATAGTAGTCAATTCCCAAACTATTCTTGTTACCATCAATGGTCCACATGGAACACAAGTGGCATAAATCCAACATACTAATTTTTCATTAGATAGAATGTAAAATTTGGGACTTGCCCATAACAGTCTATAGGTAATAGGTCAATTATGACCGCTAAACATATACGGATTAATATAATAATTAAATGTGTGGTGTTACGAATACTTTAATTGAATCTCAAATTTTCTAGCATTGTACAAATACATTTTTTTAATCTAAAATTTTCTAGCACTGTATAAATTCATTTTTTTGTCTAAAATTTTCTAGCATTGTATAATTTTTTTTAATCTAAAATTTTCTAGCATTGTAAAATTTTTTTAAATCTAAAATTCTTTAGTATTGTATAAATTCATTTTTTTCCACATCCTACCTGTATTTGTAAAATTCAATCAATGTTTATAAATCCCAGGCCCTGAAGATGATCTCAATAAAGATCTAAATGTTGGTATGATAAAGAAAATGTTTTTCTACAACCTATGTCACACCAGACTGCACCTCATGACCTCCAAATAATAATACATAAGTAATGACTTCGCTAACATCTCCCCAGCCATTTCATAAGTCACTAAGAATCAAATCCTGATTACACGACATTTGAAAAATGACAAAATAGAGGGAAAACTCGAAAGGTTGGAGGTTGAGATGAGTGGTTGGTCCGAGTGGATCGAAGTCATGATAGCTCAAGTGGTTAGAGCAGTGCCGATAGAGCCGAAGGTCATTAGTTTGAATCCTGCTTGTGACACTAACTTTTTCATCTCAACTAAGACTTTAGATAAAAAATAAATGAATTGAAATAATTAAATAGGTCAATTATGATCGCTAAATATATATGGATTACTGTAATGCAATTCTCATTCTACTTAAGACAACCTGTTCCCTTCTTCTCCACTTAAATGAATGGGTAATGCCTTTGTGGTAACTTCAAATTTTCTGGAGTTTATTTATTCTCCCTGACATATTTAATGGATTCTGTTTATTCTTTCTGTCATCGTAGATTTTTTTTTTTTTAATAGCAATTAAGTTATTTGCTGACTTCTACAATAGGGTGTCCTATTCTAAATTTATATGTTTCCGTAGCTGCTGCATCCCCTCTTATTGTTGAGAATATTTGAATGACCAAGGGTCTATATGAAAAGTGCTCGCTTTCCCTGTTGCTGAAGTTATCTCAGTGCATATAAGGTGTATTGTCCTTAGGGCTATTGGTAAATGGGTGTTGCAAGATTTCCAGAACAGCCACGAAACAGATCGTGCCACCTTGTTTTCATCTGGGGCAATTATGCTGAGCGCTCTATTTGCAACCACTATCTCCGTTGCAGTTGCTCGATAAGGGGTTTAGTGAAAATAAATATTTTCGTTCTGCACAAGTGCTAACGGGAGTCAACACTATCTGCCCCTTCAGAGCCGCCCGTATAAACGACTATTGCTGAGAGTAGAGTACTTTTAATTTTTAGAAACTCCTGTAGATATCTTTAAGATGTTTTGCTCTGATGATGACCATACAATGGGTCCAAAGCTTGGCAGGTAACAATTGAATTTTTTTTACACCCAGACCATACCGAGATCCACATTATTCGGAATCTAAATAAATAGAACCACCACAAGAGGGGTCAAGACTTTTGTTTATAAACAAGCTGTTTAAATTACACTTAAAACAAATTGACCAGGGGAATCATGACCAACTTTCATTGAGGCTATAACTGTTGCTAATTAATGCGTCTAGGCGTTAATACTCAGCAAATATTTAAAAAAAAACTAGGATTCATTTTAATGCGGTCCACTGTGTTATTTTAGAGCAGAATTGTTAATAAATAAGGAAACACTTACTTGTAAAAACAACTCATGCAGGATATCTTCGGTCGCATGTTCGCTCAAATTTCCGACAAAAAGAGTCCTCCTATCCCGGTCCATTTTAAAATAATTGAAAATTTATTTATGAATTTAAACATGAAACACCCCAGTGCGGATAATTACGATGATAATAAACAAGAAAAATACTATTATCAGTTATAAGTTATGCACATAGAACATAATAAACCATCAGTGCCACGTCGATCGGCGGGTCCTCTGCCTTATAGTAACAAATATATTCCTTTTTTCGAACATGCCAACTTTGTTTGTATTAATCGTTGTATAAACTATTTAAAAACGTTATTTTGTTTAAATAAAAGTTGAACCGCTTATTTATATTTGTTTAATTTTAAACATTTCACAGGTTCCGATGCTGTTATAGCAACTACCTTCCATTTCGTTTGATCTTTCTCAAAGTCGGTTTCTTGCATAATTACATCCTTGTATTTTTGTCTAAGTTTCTTTTTTATGAAACGGTTTTTGCAGTTTGTAAGTTTTTAAGTGTGCTTGTTATTATGGACGGTTATTTTAAAGGGCTCCCCAAAGACAGGAGGACAAAAGGAACGAAATTTTATTACGGAAGAAGCCAAATAGCTTTAATCACCATCTCAGTCGCCGTGGCCTTAGGATTCGCACTACAGTAAGTAATTTCTGCTGATTTTTGAAAGTGAAAGTCACAATTCAATTATAAACAAAAATTTAATTTCTGTTGTTAAATGTTGGTGCACGTTATAAATTCATCGACTTGGTTGCTCGTGGAATTCATGGACAATTTATTTTCAAGACTATTAATTTTAACCGCGATTTGAGACAACTTTGCGGAAAATAATGGCAAATATTGTCAAATAGGGAAATAAAGAAAAACGCATCTCAACATAGTATCTGTCGGGTAGCTGTAACCCCTGTAGTGTAAAATAAGATGCCGATTGTTCAAATAAATTCTATTGTGTATGTTTGTTTACATCTTTATTCTTGGAAAGTTAACTGAAATTCTAATTTTAGGCACTTGTATTTTTCCTTTCGTGTTCTTAGTTGTCTGGTTTATTTTTTAATTTTTCCAATTAATCAAAACTGTTTCAAATTTGTGATATTCTTCAAACTTGCAAATTTATGCAATATTCTTCAAATAGTCAAAAATATGCAAAATGAAATTTGAACCACCATACCAAGGAGGTATGATTCACATAAATATCTGATCCCCATGGTCATAAGAGTTAGCAAAATGAATTTGCAATTGCATACAAATCGGGCTCAATGTATAACAAATCTATTGAGGGTCAATCTTCTTAATTTGCCTCCTACTCTAGAAGGTAGGCCTCTTAATCCATAGGCCTCTTCCTTGTGTAATGAAGGTATGTGGTATCTTTTATTCGGACCCTGCCGAATGAGACAATAATAAAAAATAATATTCAGCAGATCCTTGCTGCGCAGTGGAAATAATACAAATAAAACAAAATCCGAATTACAACAAAAAATTATATTCCTTTTTAAAAAAATAAACATACAAAAAAGAATTAAAATATTTTCTTTTGCCAACCTGTTAACAATGTTTATATGAAGTAGACTCTACGACTGCCTTCAAGCTACCGCACGTTATGGCGAAAGCAGCGCTAGTATTTCTAACTATTTGTTTGGCAAATGAACTATTTACATTTTTATATAGATTATATATCGAAATAACAAATTAATAAAATTTTCTTGACTGAACAATTTAAACAAATAAAAAATAAGATTTTTTTCTAAATAAACTATTGTTTGTTTGAAAATTAATAAGGTTTACTTCATTGTTAATAATAATAATTTAACTTGAAAATTACAACATAACAAAAAGAAACAAAAAGTCAATTAAATAAAAATTGTCGTGATTTTCATGACACTTGTTAGTCACACCCCTGGAAATATCCACAGAAAAACATTCACCACCGCCTCATGTCCTTCAGCCAAGAGTCCGGCCTCCTTCCACTGAGCTTCCCCAGTATTTTGTATTATTAACCTGAGCTGTTCATAGAAGGCTCATCAGCATTCATCACATGTCCCATATATTTCTATCTTTGATGGTGAGGAGAAGTTACCTGGGCTTTCAATGAAGCATTTCGTCAATTGTAACCCTTTGATCCACAGTATGCAAAGTACGTGTTGGTATAAATACATCTCAAAAGCCTCGAGCTTCATCTCAGTACTTGTATCAAGTGTCCAGTTTTCACATCCATATAACAGAATAAAAATATGTAGGACCTTATCATTCTCATTCTCAACTCTAAACTAAGTATAAAATGAATAAAAAGTCTTTTCATTTGAATGAAAGTAGCTCTAGCCATCTCTATTTGGGCACTTATCTTCTTTTTATTTAGGGTCGCATTGCTCATTAACTAGGGTACCAAGGTATACGACTTTACAGTAAAACAATCCTGTTTCCTTCAAAATTGGAACAGCTGCTGTGTTCAAGCACCATTCCCATATTGGGTGGCAGAATGCTCTTTATATAAAATCAAGGAATGGCACTCTTCGATTAAGTGTGACACATCAAACATACTTTCTCTACATGTTGGATATACGTGCATTCTTTGGCCTGAAATTAAGTGTCCTTGCGTCGATCTCGCATGGCTTTTTCTTAATCAGGTGAGGATGATCCATCTTCTATGAATACGATTCTTGAGGGCCACCTATTGAATGTGCTCCTGATACATATAACATGCTCTTATTCATTCACATTCTTTGTTGCCTTTATACATTTCGTGTTATAACATTATAAGCATGGAGAACTAATCATTTTCCTCATTAGGAAGGAAATCACAAGGCCATGGCGTTTTAAATGATCATCGAAGGGTTTAAAATAAAAGGTGTTGCACGGGATGTGGGATGAGACTAGGGTTTTTTGGTGATGCCTATATCGACTGCTTGCAGTTTCCAGAACAAATGGGATTTGGAGGTCTGTGTGGATAGTCAAATTTGAGACGTAGGAGTCTTGGGTAATAGTTCGACAGAGTTTGGACTGTAGTACCTGAATTTTTTATAATTTGAGATGTCTGATTGAATCCTGCAATTATATTTCATCCAGATTGGTTGTAATAATGATTAGCGGATGAAACATTTATGTTAAATTGAGAGTTTTGTATAGCATTCTTTTGGTCAAATACTTTATATCATCTATTCATTTCTGTTCTTTTGAGTCAATTGTGAGGTTCCAAGTAAGTCTTTTATCAATAGTCTCAAATAGTGGATAATATTGGTTGCTAGCTGAGGACGAAGGATCACAAAGGGATTTGGTTTCATCAAGTCTGATCCTTCGTTTCTTTAACCATTCTTCTAAAAAGGAGAGATGGTCCTGTAGCTTTCTGATGGCCGAAAGGATAACTGTTTTCAGTACGTCATTATTTCAATTCAAGCTATTTTAGGTCAACTCGACAGATGGCTGTTAGCCATTGTCACTTGATGTAATAGTAAATGTGTACATGTAATAATAAATAATTTATTTTAAGTAATTTTTGTCAATAAATATCTTTATTATTATTGAGACAAAACATCACTCATGAATAAATTATAGATAAACTAAGCATGTATGGAATCTGTAGCTAAACCTTTAGCTTTAAGATGGTCTGTAAGTAGGTACCTTTAATACCTGGGACCTTTTTTCTCTCTTAAATATAATCATACTAGAGCAATCAGGCATGATACTACAGGTAATTTTTTTTTTTAACATGTAACTTGTTTCTCACATTACCTTACAAAATACAAAATAATTTTGAGATGAAATAGTATTACATCTAATTGAAAAATATTTTAAGCCTCTTCATTTTACTGCTCATTAAGAATTTTTTAGTTTTTGGCATTTCTTATTTGCTTAATTATATTAGTCTGTCAGGAAATACTTCCAAAAATATTTTATTAGGTACAGTGCTCCATTATAATTTATATCAAGAGAACCATTTGTAAATTGTATTTGTTAATATTCAAACTCTATAACTCATGTCAGCAAGTTGACCTTCTATAAACCTTTCAGTTTATTAGTTTCAATAGTTTCATTGCCTTTACTGTATAAATTGCACATAAACACAGATATAGGTACTTCTTGGGTATTGTAATATTCTTGATTTCACCTCTTGTATACAGTACAAATTTGCACTTCTCCACAAGCTTTTACAAGTATCTTGCTAACCATTAATGGCTCATTTACATGAAGCTGATGATTCACATTAAGTTGAGATTTAATGATATTAGATAACCAATTTTAGAAGAAGATTTAAACAATATTGTACAACAAGAAAATCCATTTTCATAAGCTAGTATACCAAAACAATACAGAATTGATTTAAAAACTTTCTGCTGGAGATAGTGGCTGCAATGAAATTCATTAAAATAAAAGATGTAAAGATTAAAAAATAAATTAAATTAAAGCTTAAAAGTCTAAAATTAAAATTTAAACTGCTCCAAGAAGTCTCTCTGTGATATTCCTGTGCTCTCTTAGCAAAACTAAAAAGATCTGAACAATGAGGGGAATTAAGGTAACTCCTAATATGTGCGGTATTTAGTTACCATTAATTAATGATTATTTGAAGATCATGAGACCAGACCACATCTCACAATCTCTAAATAATAAGAAATTCTAACAGTTCTTAACAATAAAACCCAAAACTCTGAAAGAATAGGGATATTCAGCCGATAACTGAAAGAGATCTTCCCTAGCATAGGTGCTCCCACTGTTCAGCATCATTTCTTATAGGCAAATAATTAAAATAGATCATTTAGCACCTAAGTTTGGAGAACTAATGTAAATTATTGTTGGTAAAGTTGAAAAATGACTTTGTATAATCAAGTTTCTTATAAAACAGAAATCTATTGGTTCAAGTTTGGCAAAACTTTCAAAATGCCTGGAACGAATCAAAAGCTAATATTTAAAAACCACTTTCATGATTGAGAGTGAAAACAAAGTCATGGGATACATTCGCTAGTAATGTAGCGATTCGGGCCAGGATAAATTAGCATCTGTTTTATTGACCGCTGTAATTTTAGGATGTCTAGTGAGGCAACAAAAGACTCCTGTTTAAATATGAAATTTGCAGTTTTAGTGAATATTATAATTAAATGTTAGTTGATGTATTTAACTGTAAATAGAGTAATTAAGTGTAAAATTTACGTTAGATATATATTTTTAGATTATTCACTCAGATTGTTGATTTGTGTGCCCTTAAACAATCCTTCTCACCTCTACTAAAAATTGTGATAGTTGATTTATTAAAGTTGACATAGGTTTCGAGTTAGTGACTGATTGAATACTGGGGGTTGTCTGAGAGCTGGAGGGTAGATAAATGCTTCAGACTGACTGTGTATGAAATATGCAGAAGAGCAAATGAGACAGGCTGACTCCGTGAAAGTGTGTAGAATATTTGTTGAAAAGTCAGAATTACATGCTTTTTGGAAGCAAGGCATAGAAGATAACTTTGGAGAAGTTCATGCTCAGAACCATTTTGACAGGATGATGCATAACATAAGCCCAGCATAATTATTGATGACTAGCCTCTCATTCCTCAGAGGACAAGCTAGATCAGTGGGAAATGACTTTTGCAAAACAGCATATTAGATTAGTGGATTGTAAGTTATCTTTAGCCAATATTTTTTAGGCAAGATAACTATTTTAGAAGCAGCCATTTATCTTTAGAGTTTTATAGAGTAACAAGTAACTGTTTCCCTTGTAAATTTCTCAATGTAATTGGATAAATGGCAACAAGTTGAATAAAGGCTTCCATTTGACATTTTTCTTAACATTTTTCAGTTTCCTTCACAGAATCAAAGCAGGTTTCCTTATTTTATTCCAGAATGCTTGAAGCGCAACAGCATAAACAAAGTATTCTATTTAACAACATTGGGCAAAATGTATTGAGATAGTCACTGAGGCTATCTTAGTCCATGAATATAAAATTGCAATGAACAAGTAGCAAGAGCACACATTTATTTATATTTAACTATTATTAAATTAAAAGAAAGATGCCAATAGTAATATTATTGTGTTTTTTCCAGCTTTTCTCCTGCCTTTCAAAAAGCTAGTCGTTTTATGAAAGATGGCAATCTGGACTTGACAGATGAGCAAAAGAAGTTGAAGTTGAAGTTGTTGATTGACCCTAAAACGGCCGTACAACCGAAGCCGACCGATGAATAATGAGCTCAAACCATAGAACCCAAACAAAACTCTGCCATAGTCAGAAAAGTAGTAATTTTTGCAACGAAGATGCTGAAAGCTCAAATTCTTTTCAGCTCTTATGCGCTCAGTAAATTGCAAAGTTTTTATTTTCTATTATTATTTATATTGTACAAATAGATTACAGTTGTTTTTCCCCTCTGTTTTAGATCAACCAAAGATAAAACTGTGTCAAAAGGAGCAAAACGAAATGATTTAGCGCAAAACAAAACTAAAAGCAGTTTTAAGAAAAATTTAGATGATAGTTTTGATCTTTTTATTCCTAACAGAGTTAAGAAAGTTATGTCCTCATCTAGTTCTAACCGCAGTATCAGTAGTAGAACTAGGAGTAATAAGCGAAAGAGCCCATATTTTGATGATGAAAATTCATTAGATTTACAAAATGTAAGTTTTATGATACTGTTAATATTACAGTTTAAAGCCAAATGTTTTTACCACTTTTAGCAGGAAGATGAAGATATGGAATATGCTTTACAACTATCCATGTTGGACAGTGGTAGTACTGCAAACCTTCCTGGTCCAAGTAACTTTTTAGGGAAGAAAGGTAACTTTTCATCCCATAGATTTCTTATACAATTCAATTTTCTATTAATATGATGAATTGTATTATTACTATTTATTTTGGAAATTTAGCAAGATAATGCATTAATGTTATGTTTAATCTATAATTATTCAGATAGCAGGTCAAAAAAGTTGTGCAGTGTTCCTCTTCTTCTCAGAAGGACTCCAGCCGAGAGGGAAAAAATCATTACAGAAAAAGTTGCCATTGTTTTAATGGATGACAAGGAAAATAAGATAGAAAAAGAGCTTCACAATAAAGGATTGTTATCAAATAATTTAAAGCAAGAATTTGATGTGGTATGTACTTTTGATTTTGTAAATTTTTATTTTTTCACTTGTAGTTCTTGTTTTATTTGTTTTTTTTTTCTTAATTTCAGAACTCTAGATTATGGAAATTGTCACAGTCACAAATAAATGATGTTGATACTTGCAATTTCTACGTTAAACCATTAAGTAAATATGACAATAATGGACTTCTTTGTCCCAACGCCCATAGTTCTACTGATCATCTGTGTCAAAATGTAATACAATCCTCTGCATAAGATTATCTCTACTAGAGCTTGAATGCGTTATTTTAAGCAAAATAATTGTTTATTTTAAAATTAAAAATTTGAGTTTTGGGCTCACTAGTTTTATTGTTTACACATCCTTCTTTTTACATTAGGCTATAAATTTTTATCAGTTTATAATACTTTTTTGGTATGAAGTTGTGGATGTGCTTATACATGCCTTTAGATGTATGACTGTGTGTGTGTGTGTGTTGTTTTCTTCAAGGGGGAATTATCAACTTTTTCTGTAATTTTTCGTAAATGATTTTTCACCTTTAAGTTAGATGGCATGTAAAATTTACAATTAAAAAAAAAAATTGTATATTTCTAGGTTTTCTCTTATTTATTTTAATATTCTTTCCATCTAAATTATTAGTAACTTTAATTTTATGAATTTAAGTAACATAAACATATTATTTTAGGATTACCTAAGTGTTGATGGAAAAAAGAGTCCAGATAGAACTGCAATTTCACAAAACAAAAATGAAGTTAGTACAAACATACCAGAGGAAATAGTTTCAGAAGTGGAAATACATTGTGACAAGGATTCACAGTCACTCACTGAAAACAGAGGCAATGAAAGTTCACTGTCTGTAAAAGACATGTTTCAGGATTCACTTGCTGACGTTGAAGTACCGTTGAGTACACTCGAAGAGGGAGATAGATCGGAGGATCAAAATAACTACTATGATGTATCATACCATCAAAAATCAGATACATCAGTGTGTGACTTCAGTAGTACCAAAACGGTTTCAGAGGATGGAGATGTATGCAGTACTTTGGACAAAGAAAAACCTAGTACATCAGGGTGTAATTTTAATACTAAAATGAAAACCAAAGATGCAAATAATCAGCAGGAGGAGCTCATGGTTTCATTCAAATCTGATGCAATTTATGGCACCAACCTTCAAATACAAGTTGGTGATATGCAAGCTGATAATAACAGTAGTAAAATGTCAATAGACAATAGTTATATGTGTTCAAATCAATTTGAGGCAATCCAAAAACTGTCTCTTGTTCAGAGTACGAGCACAAGTGGTTTGTATGTTCAACAAAGCCCATCGCACGTTTCCGAGCTGAGCGATTATATAACTATTGTTAACACTGATAAAGCCGAGGATTTGAGTAATGAAAAAATAGATAGTGAATCAAAAAATTATTTGATTGAAGTTGAAGATGAACTTTGTTCAGTAAAATCTGCATCAAGTACAAAAACATTGGAATTGCACAGTTCAGATGTTTCACTGCATGACGAAACCACCCTAGATGGACAAGTAATTGATAATTCTCCACCACAATTTCATATAAAGGAATTATGCGAATTAGAATTAAAAGCTTTGCAGGGCTTATCAAATGATTTAGAACAAGCTTGGTTGTATCCGGACTCTTATCTTGTCTCAGTAATATGCAGTGATCACACACTTACAATTCAGTCTTGTATTTTGTTTTCTCGGTGTCCTTTAATATTCAGAGAAGTAAGGAAGCACAAACTTCAGTGGGAGCATTATAACCGAACTGTGTGTGAAGTGTTTTTTAGATATGTAGTAACTGGGAAGATAGATCATTTTAAAAGTGTAAATTCTGATTCTTTATTTACTCTCTTTAATATCAGCAGTAAGTATCAATTGAACATACTTTCTGAAGTAGTGGCATATCATTTAAATAAGGGCATTGAAAAAGTTTCATCTTCCAATTTCTCAATCAAAATAAGTAATAACACAATTGATTGTACGACTAACATATCAACAGACGATGAAGATGCTCATGAACAGAACATGCTGAAAAGATCCCGTAGGTTCTTCATTAAAGAATCCAATCATCCCATTCCTTGTTATGTTGTAGACTCTGACGATGATGATTATGAAACTAAAGGGAAGAAAACACAAAAGACAAACTGGAAAAAACAGTTAAGTAAAAAATATAGAAGTGAGTTTCAACCAGAATTGATTACAATTGACTCTGATAGCAATCATTCTGAACCTAATATCTTATCAATAGAAAATAACGATTTATCTCAAATACTAAATACATTAATAAAAAATGAATTAGATGATAATCAATGGAGAATTCCAGTACCTAGTACAAGTAAAGAAGAGGTCATTGATTTAGAGAATGATTTTCCTTGTAAAATCTTAGAGGGAAAAACGCAAATATCTAATAATAAAAACAATTTTCAAAATTTTTTTGAACGTTCGGTTAATTTTTCTGAGACCATTCCCAATACTTCAAATGGATGTGAACAAGAAAAAGTCGGAAATGATATTTCATCATTCAAAATTGAAAATACATTTGATGATCCAAAACCAGGATGCTCTGGCCTTTCATTTAACAAAATCGTGCCGTCGAAACAAGCATCGCCAAAATTCTATGATCTTTCAGCAAAGGACACAGAACTGCTAGATGAACCGCAAGGGTTCTCTGGTCTTTTATTTAAGGGGTCAAAGACGATAAAAGAAGCAATACAAGGAAGCTCTAATCTTTCAAACAAGGACACTGAGATAATATATGAACGGTCACCAGAAACGTGCTCTGACATTTCATTAAGCGAAACTGAGCCGTTAAATGAACAGGCATCAAACAGTTCCAAACTTTATAAAACTCGAGAAGGGCAAGTTGTGACCCTTTCGCACAAAATTATACCTCCACTAGATTATACGCCAATGAGTTCAACTGAATTCAAGGTAATGTTCGTAGATAACATATATATATAAAATAATTTGGTTATTAGAAAGAAATTTTGATAACATGCAGCATAATTGCATTATGCTGATTCTTGTTTTATACATTCTGTAATTGAAATTAATTTTGTTTAAAAAATTATAATATACTCTTTTATTATGAAAGGGAAAACACAAGCTGTATAAGTCAAAAAGTTGATCAATCAAAATTTCTTTATATTTATGTAAGGTATTGGTTGAAATAAAAAAGATAAATACAACGCTGCTCTACCATTTGAGCTATTGTGACTTTGATCCACTCGGACACCAACTTCCCATCTCAACCCAAGCTTTCGAATTTTCCCTCCTTTTTGCCATTTTTCAACTTTACCATTTTATCTCAATCAATACCTTACATAAAGATTAATTAATTGAAAGATGTTATTTGGTCAATCGGACCACAAAATCTAATGGATTTCTTTATATATTAACTCAACTACCCACTAAAAAAAATCTCTTTAAAAACCTTTTGTAAGTTGTATTGTATCATATTACCATTTTACAGAAAGAATTGATGAAGTACGGAATAAAACCAAGTATTGAACAAAATAAAGCTGTGCATTTGCTGAATTGCATTTATTTACAACTTGATGCGAATAAAGATGATACGATCATTAAGTCGACTTCCAAAATCCACAAGGTGTCAGAAAACACCGATCAACTGTCAACATTTTTATCGAGCAGATCTCCATGGCCTGATGACCAGAAGGATGATGTTAATCATGATTCGGCCAAGCATTCAACATCTCTCGTGGTCAATTACATTTCAGATGACTCTGTAGATGGGTAATTAATATTTCTCCTGGGTAAAACTTATCTTAAACTTTATTAAAGTTATCTTGATAATTTAAGATTGCTCCCTAATGATGGACAAATGCTGGATAATTTACACTATCACAATGAATTATCTCCTAAATCAGGTGAGTTATTTATATTAAGCCTAGAAATTCTTTAATGATAAAAAAAAGAAATAATCACGGATAGTTTTATTTATTCATATTATTTATAGGGCATTTTTTGAAGATGGTTAAATAAATTTTCAATATACATTTCAGCATCCTGCTTTAAACATTTAAATTATTACTTGATTAAAAAATAAAAATATTTTGGGTCAAACACTTTCTCTGAGTACAATAATATTGCAATATCAGCAGTACGAGTATACCTTAATTTTCTGTGCAGATAATTATATATATGCCATTTTCAGGGCATTTAGATGATATGAAAAATAGAATGAGTAAAGGAAAGGTAAAACCTGAGCAAAGTAATTTATTTTCCCATTATGCCAAAGAGGAAATGAATCCACAGGCATCCAAGCATAATTATGATGATGCAAATGATGCAATTCTACAGAACCATTTAAACGTCTCACCCTCAGACAAGGCTGTAAGCAGTAGCAGCAGTGTGAACTGTACACTTTCACCAAACAAAATTCCTTGCTGTCCAAAACCCGGAGACAACGGAGAAAATTCAATTGATTGCTACTTCCAAGATTCTTTTCCATCTCTTAGACACTTCGAAACGCCCAAGGATTCTGAAGAAAATGCTTCAAATGAATGTAGACCAGAAACACCCGTACGCTCATTGTCGTCATTTAAAGAGAAATTAAATGAACTGGTACAAAAAACCCCTGAGTACTCTTCATTCACGGAAACTGGCCCAATAAATGACCATTTATCAATTAATTCCAAACTGTATGCAACTCCAGGAGGGCAACTTATTACATTTTCAGACAAAGCAACACCACAACCAGATTACAATTTAATGACACCTACTGAATTAAAGGTAATTTATCTGAAGAAATATACTTTTTTTCTAGAGAGATTGTAGATATGCAGTACAATTAAGATACTTCATTGATAAAATTTTCATATTTTATTATAGTCATATTAAAATTATAAATTTCATATATTTTCTTTGAAATATGTCAACTTTTCCTCAAAACTAATTACCTATTAAAAAATGCAATTTACTGAATGTATTCTCCGATCATTTTGCAGAAAGAATTAAGGAAGTACGGAATAAAACCAAACCTCGAACAAAAAAAAGCTGTAAATTTGCTGAATTACATTTATTTACAACTCCATCCAAGAAAAGACAGTACGGTCGTTAAGTCAACGATTTCTCAGATTCGCGAGGTGTCTGAGAACACTGGGTGTGCTGATGATCAACTGTCGTCCCACAAGTCAAGTTCATCGATCAAATCTCTGTGGCCAAATGAGGAGAAGGCAACTTTTAATCATGATTCCGCCAAACCTTCGACATCTTATCCAGTCAATTATTTTTCAGACGATTCTGTAGATGGGTAATTAATTTTATTTCCGGGTAAAAGTATATTCCTTTACTAATTTATATTGATAATTTAAGATCACTCTCTAATGATACCCAAATGCTAGATGATTTAAACTATCACGATGAAGTATCTCCTGTATCAGGTGAGATATTATTTATTTTAAATATTTCCCTAAAAATTTAATTTGAAATTTATTTTTTAAATGTGGAACATTATTATTTCTTCAATATTATTATTAAAAACTAATCTAGAAAGCTTACAGTTTTAATGCAATAAATAAAATGAAAGATATTATATTAAAAATTTTCTGTTAAACAATGTCATATTTTAAAAACTTTTAATATTTGGATTAGTTTTAAACAATAATTGTTTTTATTTCTTTTAAATTGCAATTTCATTTTAGCACAACTGGTCTGCACAATTGTACAATTTATTAGACGTTCCCTTCTTCTAAAACGTGAAATTTTGCTTTACAAACCTATTTGGTTAGTGAAATTCCAGAATCTGTTGAAAGAGCATGGCATAAAGTGCAGCATTAAGGATTTAAAAGCAGTGTTAAATCATATTGTAAGTCAATTGAAAAAAACTAGCTGGAATACTCCAATTTTAAATTTATAATGTACAATTTTAAAGGTTAATTGTAGGCATAGTGACAGAAAAGTATTATAAGAACAGCTTTTGAGGATTTAGCCCATGTGAATACCAAAAAATATATAAATTAAAAAAATAATAGAGAAGTACCTTTTAAAAACAATTATAATGGAGATTTCTTTTGCTTATATAGCTCAACACGATAAACAACATGGGCGTGTTCTTTTAGACAAGATCTTGTGAAAGTTATTTAACTTATTCTGCCTGTAATTTTGCAAAAATTGCCTGCTATGAGATTTGGTCTAACATAAAATGGTTGTACTGCCAGAACAACAGTTTCTTGGTCAAGTATCATCAAGTAAAGTGTTTACACCTGTTTCATGACTTAGGCAACATTTTAGTTGAATTTGTTTTTTTGAGAGGTGTCTGTCAGAAGAAGAATCCTTCATACAATAATAAAAAAAAAAAAATATTCAGAAAATGTTTCCATGCCAGAAAAATATAAAACAATGCCTATAACCACTTATAGTTTTTTGTTTTGTTTTTCAAAATGTCTTCCAGAAACCAGCAATATAAGTGTTCCTTTTAATTAAATGTTAATAAAAATATTTAAATAATTAAATTGAAATATTTACAAATAGGTTTTTTTTTAAACACTGACACTCTGAGGGTTCACATCACCTGAAAGTTTTGTTTTTTACGAGGGTTCGCATATCGCAGATATAGCAGAGGTTATATCAACCCTCGGGGTGTCGGTGTTTTTGAAAAAAAGCCCATTTGTAAGTATGTCGGGTTCAAATGTAGGGCCCCTAGATTCGAACCCGGGAACCTGAATAATTGCAACAGTTGATAGTAGTTTGACTAAAAATGTCATTCCCTCTAGGATAAATATGCATACCTTTTTGAACAAGCTGTCATTTATTTGGAAAAAGGTGTGTAATATTTATTTACAATTAAAAAATCTGGACAGTGTAATTTTTCATAACTGATTAAACATTTATAGTGATATTTGAGTGTGATGGATCAATCTTAAATCTACTGATCTTTCTTAGGAATCAATCTTTAAAATGAACTTTCAACCTTTTACAGGGCTAGAATACACCACAATATTTATTTTATGTACACCATTTATTTAGTGGTCTTATTGACCAAATACTTACTTACTTTCAATTAATTAACCTTTTTATGTAACCACTAAATATAATGGATTTAATAATTAAAACGAAGTATAACTTCACTAACACACTATGTCGCCGAGGATCAAATCCTGATTACACGACATTTGAAAAGTTACAAAACGAGGGAAAATTAGAAAGGTCGTAAGTTGAGATGGGGATGGGTTATTGGGTGGGGTGCAAGTGGATCGAAGTCACGATAGCTCAAGTGGTAGAGCAGCAGCATATTGAGCTGAAGGTCGTGTGTTCGAATCCCTCATGACACTAACTTTTTCATTTCAACCAAAACCTTACATAAAAAGGTTAATTAATTCCCTCCCCCTGAGGTTTGCAACAGCAGAGGTCATATAAACCTCAGGGTGCCAGTGTTTAAAAAAAATATTTGTGAGTATGGCGGATTCAAATGCAGGGCCACTGGATTTGAACCCGGGACCTTTACCTTACAGTGATTAGCGCTGTGTCAACGCCTAAACCGTTGTGGCCACCGATGCCCCCTATAAATGTTATTATGGTGTTTGGTGATAAAAATTCTAGCAAGAATCGTATGGTGTATGCTAGTAGTTTTGCCAAGTTTAGAGATCTTTTTTTCTGGGCAAAGAAAGCTCAGCAAGTCTTTAATTGAAAGTAACCAAATAGATATCATTATTATAATTTGGTTATTACTTATAATTTGGTACATTATAAGCAAAATTTATGTTTTTAGCATAAAAATGATAAGCCTATGTGTTTAGATTTATGTATTTTTGCAAAAATTTGTTTTCCTTCACAACTTGGCAAAGTAAGTATATCATACTTTTTTTTTTTATATTTGCAAAATCTGTCACCACATACAAGAGTGTACAAGCCACTGTTTTTGACACATAATTACCACCAATCACCATGCACTCATTCTATTTGCCTGTATCATTATTCATTAGGTGTAAACCAGGCATAAGGTCCTTTTAAGGAAATTTACAGTAACTAAATAAGCACTGCGTAATTGTAATTTTACATTTATTCTCCTTATTGATTTTTTAAATTGTTTTTGTTTTCTGTTTTAGGGGATTATTTACAAAACAGAAAGACTGGAAAAGAGGAATTGAAATATGTATGATGTCGAATCGTTCTCAGTTTTATTACAATTGTTACTTAACAGTTTTATGTAAATATTTTTTTTTTGTGTAAATAATTTCTTTTCTATGTTCCAATTATGGATATTTATATGTAAAATATGTATATTTGTAATAAAATATAACTTTCATGTGAAATGTAATTTTTTTGTCTTTTACTTTCAGTTTATTCTGATCAATTACTTCTTTTCTCCCATTATCCTTCCACCCATTTTTATTTAATGAAATGTTATTGTAGAGATAGATTGAGAGTATGATAAGATCCATTCAGCTACTGGATTAACAAGTGAGATAGAAGCTTCCAACCACAAGAACATCTTTTATTTACTGCCAATGGAAATTGGTTTTAATTTTAAAAAATTACATGATTTGCTACTGTTCATTAACAGCAGGCAAGCACCAGAAGTACTCTATTTTTGATTCAGTTCAAATTTTTTGTTTTGGAATCTGCAAGTTATTTGAATGAAGTTTTGATGCTTTTTGTATTGTAGTAGTCGTAAAACTTGCAATTTGGTTAATTGTTAAAAAAAAATTTAAGAATGTCAAGGGTTATGATTAGTATTGAACTTATAATTGCCTGGTCTATGATGCAAGTAGCTGATGCCTAACCACTTGGCTACAGCAGCCTCCAAATTAAAAAGTAATTTTCTACCACCCCTCCTGGGCTGTAAATGGGAGTTAATGGGCCTTGCTGGCTTGGTGTTCCCATTTGCCTTGGTTGGGGAGAGAAATGCTCTAGTTGGATATGAACTATGTTGTCAGAACATTGGAGAAAATTCTTTTTTCAATTTATTAAGATTTTGGTTGAGATAAAAAAGTCAGCGTCACAAGCGGGATTCAAACCCACAACCTTCGGCTAAATACACCGCTGCTCTACCACTTGAGCTATCGTGACTTCAATCCACTCGGACACTAACTTCCCATCTCAACCCCACCTTTTGAATTTTCCCTCCTTTTTGCCACGAAACCTGATAAAATGTAATAAGCAAAATGAAGTATACTTCACTAAAAGCTCTCCGTGGCCATTTCATTTGTCGCCGAGAATCAAATAGATCACATGACATTTGAAAAATGGCAAAAAGGACCTAAAGGATAAAACCTAAGGATAAAAAACCTTAATAAATTGAAAATTAAATTGACAATTTATTTGATCAAGCGGACCCCGAAACCTGATAAAATTGGAGAAAATAAAATTAACCTTGTCTGGGTACCAGAACACACAGTGCAGAGGGGCAACAAAGAAGCCGATAATTGGCCAAGTAATGTTGAAGGTCATCTATTGGCCCTGAACCCTTTTGAGGCTGGCCAAACTGCCAAAAACATTAGACAACGGATTAACGATAAGTGCACCGCTCAATGGTAATGTAACTCACGACAGAGGCATGCAAAACAATTTATCAAAGGATCATTTCAGAAACTAACAGCAGAACTACTAAATCTAAAACGTACTAGGACTAGCATAATAGCTGGACTGCTAACTGAACACTGCCGACTCGAGAGGCATATGTAGAGAACTCGGAGTGGCAGAAACAAGCCTGTGCAAAGGTTGTCAAGAAGAAGAAACAGCAGAACACATACTCTGTTAGTGCAAAGGCCTATATAGTCCTAATTCTGGGAGAGGAAAATCCAGGGCCTGAAGGATACACATGTGAGTATTTGAAAAAGCTTTGGAGTCTGGTAAAAAGCCTCAAGCTTAACGAGGAAATCTAGATATAAAAGACTGGTCGGGGTGCATAGGTCATAGAGGCCGGCTCCTAGAAAATCTATCTTCCCCCTCCTTGCTTTTATTATCCACAGTTATATACCTTAGAGACTGTTGGATTCAAACTATACTTTTGCTTGTTACTTTTTGGAATTAATGTGAAATTTCTCTGTTGTCTGCGGATTGATGAACATGAAATTTGGTCATTACCGATCATTTTGTCCGCCTACCTTCGCTGGGTCGGTCTATATGACACTTGAAGATGGAGGAATATAAAAACATGTGGTCAACCAAGGGACCAAGTGTGGATAGGCAGACAAAAATGATCGATAACGACCCAATTTTGAAATTAAGTTAAATTATATCAGATCTATATCATTTAATTATTAATTAGGGTGCACATGTTGGAAAAGGTTGGCCTCCCTTCCATCCCATTATCAATGAAACATCTGAATAACATATTAGAATGTATATTCTCAATAACTCAAATCTGACGGGGAAATTTAAAAATTTGACTTAACGAGGTTTTCAACTAATCAAGGTTCAATGTGCCAACAAATCCATAATTTTTTAAATTTGTGGATAAGATGTTTGGCAGTATGCTGAATTCCTTGGTGAAGTCACCCTTTTTTTAATGCCTTCATCTACTGCCTAATAAATCTTGTTTCTCCTCCATGCTTAACGTATTATGGTGATATTTCACAGACTTTTTTTACACAAATAAACAAACAAAACTGGAAAAAAAAACCTAAGCTTGCACTGTACTGCATACTATGTACTGTTTGGTGCATGACTGTTAGGAGAGTGGGAGAGAGTTGAGCCCATGAGAAAGAAAAGGAAATTTGTCTATACGAGATTTGTCATTTTGAAATTAATAGGTAAATGAGGGAAATTTGAAAAGATACGAGTTATTGAGTCGTCTGTATTCTGTAGTACAAATGTTGTTATAATGTAAAAAGTGTTCACTAGAGAAGAAAAATGACCAAATTTTACAAAAATATAATTTATTTTACAATTTTACCACATCAACAGTCAGGTTCAGTTATTACCTTAATGTTGTGTGTATTTATGACTAAACAGTTTATAAAACTATGTTTCGATTGGATAATCATTTTTCGGCAAGTAAATGTCAAAATGATACCAATTGACCAGACTTCTGTGTATCCGAATAAATGTTTTGTTGATTCTAACCAATGATTTTTATACAATGAAGTTCAATATGGTCAATCTTGAAACAGCAATCCTTAGGAATGATACATTTTTAGAAGGCAACATGCTAAAACTGACATATAGCGTTCCCATGCTGCACGTGTATCTTGTTCTCTGTAATATTTGGTAATACAATACACAATAATTATAGTTATTACAAAAAATTACCTTAAACAGTCCAACTGAAGGGCACAGGTTTTGAAAGCTGATAAAAATGCTGTAAGATCATTCGAAGTCCAGGATACTTGACGCCAGGGTTCGATGCATTTTTCAACCAGCTCAATGAATAAAAACCTTCAAAAATAATATGGAAATAACATAATAACACACCGGATTAAACCATATCCCTTCCCTCTTTTTTTTTCATTTGAGAACGGATAAGGTTTAATCTGGTGCATTGTTTATATTATTGTTCCTTAACAAACAGAACAAATCATAATAATATTAAAATGAATATGAAGTCAAATTACTTTAAATCCCGTTGACGGTGTAAGTTGCACCCTAAAGTTATCAACGATCTTGAATAAGTACGAAAATTATTTTCTAGTTCCTGGTAAGCTTTCTCCAAAAGCTGAGGCTTGATTTTGGAACAAACAAGGCTAAAAATAAAACATATTATCATAGACAACAATGAAACAATGCGACAATAACTAACTGTTTTAATTCTTTTTCTTTATCAAGCAGGGTTCGAATTTCTCTTAAGTCCAGAAAAAATTCTCTGTCAAGGTCACACTCTTCATGCTCTGATGTCCCCGCTGGACATGTCCAGCTGTGCATTATGGCCAGCGCGCACTCATAAAAGTCATTGAACGTCAAATACTGAAGTTTACGTTTTCCTGTCTCAACTTTCATGTTCGCCATAAACACAACTGCTCCATATCGCCTAAATACACAATTCATTCGAATAAAAAAACGTAATAGTTGGATTTCATTATTGAATTGTACTTTGCAAGTTCTTCAGGTAGTAAAAACAGATGGCGTATATTCTTTATAAGTGAACCTTGCATATCCTCGACTGTTTTATATATTCTTTTAACATTATCAAATTGCCTCCTAAAAACAAGAAAAAAGCAGATTTTTTTATAACGTGCTTAAAACAAAGTGAATAAAATACCTGCATGATTTAACAGATATATTGGTTTTATCACTAACTTCATCTAAATCTTTTCGATACCTAGAGGATAACTTTTTCCCAAGTAACTCCCTAATAACAGGGTCATCAAATTCATAATACCTAGAAAGATTATTAAATAAAAAACATACAGAAAATAAATTACAATTAATTAAATTGTCATACTTTTCAATTAATAACTGTCTCGTCAAGGGTTCTATCTGGAAATGAAGTTGTTCTGCTAGTTTAGGAGGATTATGTAAAAGTTTTTCAAGAAGGTTGTATGTTCTATAATGGTCAGAAACATCACTCTTTACAAGTTCCAATGTATTATCACCATGTTTTGGTACTTGTTTGTGTACCGTATCCACTGCATCTTGAGCTTTAAAAAATAACACAAAACAGTCAAACAAAATATAAGCATGCTATATTAATAAGATAATAAAATTCAGATGTAACTTCACACCCAACACATCCATGATCACCTATTTTATCCACAATTTTGTGGTGATTTTGCACTAAAAAATATATTCTTGCACAATTTATACTGTGTATTGTGAATTTTACTTAGACTCACTTAATATTTGACCTTTTGAAAATATTATGGTAACACTTATTGTATTAGCCATTAATTAATTAGGAATTAATTTAATCATAAAAACCAAATAAAACAAAAATATATTAATAGTAATACATAGGAAAGCCATAGAACCTGCATTTCATAGTTCCCTCTTGTTTATTATCAAATATGAGGAAATATTTAAAAAATCAGAATAACTCTTGCGTTTTCATAAAACATAATACATTATAATGCTTATAATATACAGTGGTTCAAAAAAAGTATTGGCACCCCACTTTGTTAAATCTCCAAAATATAAATGTTAATTGTTTGATTCTAAATTTATTTAAAAACTAGCAACCAACTATTAATTTTTGACAGCAATAAATTGGGTGAATTACAACTAAGATAAAACATAATAAGAGGAATAAAATAATAACAACTTTCAGGTTCCAAAAGTATTGAACCAGTCAATTCTTGCTTAATTTTGAATTTTCCTATGTAAAATTGTAACCTTAATTTTGATCCTTTCAATCTGAAATGAACACAAGTCAGGATGAACATCGTTATTCTAAATTATTTTCTACCAGTTCAGTGATAGTAATAAAGGATAAAATATGAGAGCATTGAATGCCATTATGCATTCATGTCGTTAAATTCCATTCCCATGAACTGAGTTATCATGAACTTGCAAACCTCAGTTAGAAACATCATAAAGAAGAACAATGAGACGTGTTCAGTCCTAAACAAACGACGTTTTGGGCAGCCACAAAAATTTTCCCAACAAGAAAAAAGGAGAATGATCAAAATGTGTGGTGATTAGTGACCATTAATTGATAATAATTCAGAAATTGTGAGATGCGGTCTGGTGTGATGTAGGTTTCAGAAAAACATTTTCTTGAAATTTTCTTCTTCGTGTTGAGAGTGCCTGTCACAACACGACACACAAGGATGGTACAATTACACAGAAGACAAACACTTTGAGACCTGAAGATGATCTCAATAAAGATTGAAACATTGGCACAATAAAGAAAATGTTTTTCTGAAACCTACATCACACCAGACCACATCTCATGATTTCTGAATAATGATCAAAATAGTGACAAAAACACCCTGTATTTCTGCCTCTAGCATATAACATCAGAGATTGCATCAACTTTTAACACAACTTTCAGCGTGCAGAGAATTAACTTTAATTCAGAAGTTTTAATTATTACGGCCGAATTCAAAGAAAGAAATGATTTATCAGTGAGGTCAATAGCAAAAAATGTCTCGAGTTCACAAAAACTTACATAAATGAACCGTTAGTTTTGGGAGAACATGTTTTTACATAAAGAAAATGTTTTCCTAAATCTTCATCACACCAGACCGCTTGTCCTTTCTTTCTACACAATGCGAAGTCAGTACTAAGCATTGTCTAGAGATTATGAAGAAAAACTTGAAAATAAACAAGTCAACTATTAAAATTTAGACGGGTAACCTCCCTCCAACTCCTACAACTGATAAGAAATTACAGCTAGTTTTGTAGTTTCCTTCGTTCTTTTAATCATTCTAATTATTACTGTTGAAACGAACTGACACTAATGACTAGATGATCCACGTCGAAGCTTATTTTTCTATACCTTTTGAGTTATTATTTTTTAAAAACTAATAAACCTTTGTCTTAATACTGATTAACTTGATTAAACTTACATGTGCACCCGTCGACCCAGAGTTGATACACTTGAGGATCGACAATGGTGTAGTTACTTATAAAGACATCGACATCTGGAACCATCTGCAAACAAAGTCGCAATGTCAACCAATTTGAAGTTGGGATCAATTGATAAAGATGGCTCCCCTAATTGTGCTATCAGAAACATCAATTTACCTGTCGCCCGTAACCTTCGTCTGCTTCTGCGTAGACCATGCTGCACAAATGTAAACTATGCAGATAAATATGTGGAAACGGTGAAGAAGAAGAATTCCTTTGAAAGGAATTGACGTTTTAATCCGGAAACATTTGCCTTTCCATGATCCGAAGGTGTGATCGGAAGGGTTAAAAACTCAGGAGTTTCGAGCTGAGCATACCTTTAAAATATTCGTTTGTTCTGATATGGGGGAAATAATTTAACACCATTAAACGTTTGACTATTTCGGCGATTATCATATAAAACGGAAAATTTAAGTTATTAGAGGTAAATTGTAGATACGAGAAAATGCAGAATTAACTTCCACGACAAGGCGAATTGTCAACAGTGAACAGAACCTCCCACACGTGTGAAGTACTAACTCTTAGCGCCATCTGTCAGCTGAACTGTGGCTTACAATGTCAGTGAAACTTAGAAAATCCCGCTCCATTCTTTTCTTTTCATATTTATTTTATTTTATTTATTTGTATATTATGCTAAACAATAAATTATAATTTTGGCAATAAACTAATATGAATTTTACAATTTTGATTGTTTAGCTTATCCTCTAAAACATAACCTTGTGTGAGGACAGAAGTCCTTATATAAATAAGAAAATATAGTTGACTCTTTTTAATTCCAAATTTGATAATTTGAATTTCTGGATAATACACACTCCTCAGTATAAATTTAAACTCAAACAAAAATTTATAATTAGTGGTCTCAAGAGGTGCTAAAACAAAATTGATATTAATTTCCTGAAAAATTTGTATGACCTAGTTTAATTAAAAAATATCTGGTTTTTTTGTTACTGATAAACTTTGATAGCTTTTATTAGATTTTTATTGCAATCTACATAAAAATGATGTAAAATGTAAAAATTCACCTCATTGATTTGAGCAAATAAACGGCAAAATAAAAATATTAAAAACAGAAAATTCAAAATTTCAAATTTTTTGTGGCGAAACCAGGTTCTATTCACAAGAAGTGACAGATATGATATTTTGGAGTGTAGAATCACCAAAAAAGTTTGGTCCAAATCCGTGACCCAACAACCTGGTCCTCCCTTGGGACTTTCAAGATCAATGAACTTTAGAAAATCTCATTTAATTCGTTCCTTTTATGATATTTATATTAGTTATTTATTTGTATATTTTGCTAAACTGTAAATTCTAATTTTGACAACATAGAAATATGAATGTTTACAATTTTGATTGTTTAGCTTGCTCTCTAAAACATAAATTTGTCTGAGGACAGGAAGAAGTTTTATAAATAAAGAAATACAAATGAATTTAGTTAAGTCCAAACTTGATAATTCGAATTTCATGATAATATGCACTCCTCAGCATAAATTTAAATTTAAAAAAAAATTATTTAGTGTCTCTAGAGGTCTAAAACAAAATTCATATTAAAAATTTTATGACCTAGTTTAATTGAAAAATATTGTTTTTTTAAAGTTTTTTTTTATTGCTAGGTTTTACTAGATTTTTATTACAATGTACATAAAAATGCTACAAAATGTAAAAATTCACCTAGTTCATTTGAACAAGTAGAATGGCAAAATAAAATATTACAAAATGGAAAATTTCAAATTTTTTGTGGTGAAATCAGGTCTTACTCTCTAGAAGTGGCAGATAAGTGTAGGATATTTTGCAGGGTAGAATCACCAAAAAAAGTTTGGTTCAAATTCGTAACCCAACAACCTGGTTCTCCCCTTGTGAGACTTTCAAGATCAGTGAAACATTAGAAAATCTCGTTCCAGTTGTTTCTTTTATCATATTTATTTGTATATTTTGCTAAACAATAAATTATAATTTCCATAATTAGTAATATGAATTTTTACAATTTTGATATCTAAGCCTGCCCTCTAAAGCATTATCTTATGTGAGGACAGGAAAGTTATATAAATAAAGAAACAGTTTGGATTGCATTTAGATTTATATATGCTCAAATCCACACATGTATGTACATACATACAAACATTTGATGAATTCAGCCTATTCACTTCTCATAGTCCACCGGCAATTGCAGCTTTTGCTATTTACAGTAAACTGCCAGCAGACTCACTCTCCTGTGGGTGTTGGCTGCTCATGGGCACACCTCAGCCTTATTCGTCCAACCACCACGGTTGGGCTCTGGGGAGGGGGGGTGCTGTCAACTGCTAGGTCAATTCAGCATACAGTTCCAAACTAATTCATAATCATGTTCATTCATTTCATCTACCATCTCACATCACACTAATAAATACATTAACTCTCAAGGCAAACTAGGTTATTACTATCTTCAAAAGCAACCCCGTTTCCTCCAAGAATGAGACCCAAATATTCAAGCAGCAAGCGCACTCTCCCTATGGATCCAAGGGATTGCATCCTTCGATTAGGTGGGACATAATATATGTTAGATTATCATTATTACTATAAATATTATAATTATTATTATCATTATTATTAGCGCTGTAAGTAGTGATATAATTAAAATTTCCAATCATTATCAAAGAAAATTTTCTGGAGCTGATTGAAACCGGATTGAAGAGGATAATCGTGAAGAGTGTATGGAATGAAGAAAATGGCAGAAAGTCTTGAATGTTAGAGCAGAACAATCAAATTTAGATGAGAAAGTAATAAAGGACAACCAATTCTATTGTTTACTGATTTATAAATAAAAGTGATGAAATTCCATGTTATACAAATTGCATGTTTATCATCCTGCATGCCAATAACAATATTCAAAGGCTATAGTTTTAATAAATAGAACCCTGAATTGTTCATATTTTTTTTCATAAAAATTATGCACAATTTATTTTATGTTTGTATAGTTATTAATATTGCTAAAAAATGTAAATACAATGAAAAGTGCAATAATAAAAAGTCATTATAGTTGTTCTCGTGATTTTTTATAACCAATAAAATAATTGAATTTAGGTTTTTTTCATAATTAGAATTAAAAATGAAAAAAACTTTAATATTAACAAAAAGTATTTTTGCCATACTTACTCCTATGACAGGCACAAGACCGGGCAAAACTCCCGGCAAACATTTCCACATAGATTCAGCCTGTAATGTAAAAAAAATCCACGGTCATTTTTGAACAATAGGCAATATATTAAGTTGTTTAATTAATTAATAATACAATTGTAATTATGTTGCAAGTTTGCATTGCTGTAAGCTTATGTTGAAACTCTATAATTATAATGTCACTGTTGGAATAAATGAACAATTTGTATTTCAAAGGAAGATACAATAAGGCATAAGGAATAAAGCAAGATAAGAAAATGAACTAGATGATAGTCTTTTTAAAAAGACCATATTCTTATCTTCTGTTTATCTAAAATCAATATTTTCTCATTAAATAAAAAGTACTAATTGTCAAATTATGTTGGGAGAAGTGAGTGAGTCAAACTGTAGTTAGATTGTCCCAGATGATCCTGGTATGCCTAATCTCATTAGGCTTGAACACATACATTTTTATTTTTATTATCTTTTGTGGATGACTGGTCAGACAATAAGAAGACAAAAAAAGATCAGAAGTTATTTCATTTTGATCAAATTACTGATTTGAAATGAAAACTATGTTATTTTTAATGTAGTTGCAATAGTGCTTCTATAAATTTTTGCACCATGTGAATTACTGAACACATGTTAAAAATAAAATGATTTCATATCATCCAAAATTCAAGTAATTACAATGACATTAAGGACATGATACAAAAACTTAAAAGGCTCATATTTTCTATACTATAATCCAAAAAGTTCTTGTGAGGAGCTAAGAGCTTGTACCTATGAAAAAGAAGATACTTGCAGTTTAAGAAGGCAATCTTAACAGAGTGATGTCAGATTCAGACCAACCACCGGTATATTGACAATTAATTTGACTATCGTAAAAACAAAATATGCATAAAGCTTTGTATTTTTCATGTGACAAGTACATAAAGTGTTCTATAAAATAAATTTACTACATTTAAACATCTTTGAATACAATTTTTAAATAAACCTTGGATTTTGTTTCATTAGATGTGGTTTACTTATGCACTATGACAAAACTATATAACAGAGCAATTTTTGTTACTTTATCCTGATAAAGCTTTATGCAATAGTGCTTTGTATGTTTTAGTAGTTTGTAAATTTCATTGTTATGTAATTATCCAAAAAATAACTTGATGCCTTTTCTATTATTCAATGATAACGGCAACAGCTTAATAATAAGTACTTTTATTGTCAATTCAGAGCTAAAAAAAGAACAAAAAAACAAAATACAAAACAATTTCAATAAAAACAATTCAAAGTAGTTGTAAATATTGTAAAGAAACAATAGTAAATTAATTTAAAGCATGCAATGCATTTGGATTATAAACATAGGTATATAAAAAACTTATATTTCACAACTAGATCTAATTTTAATAATTAAATTATAAAAACCAGAAAAGGAGCAAATAGACACCAAAAATAGAAATGTGTACTATTTTGTTATTCGTGAATTAATTTGAATTATTACAGAAAAAAGTTAATATAATTATGAAAAATAAAACTTGGATTAATCAATCAGTAATATAAACATTGCACAATTTTATTTTGATGATAAAAACAAATTATTTAATATTTTGTGATAACTCTCAATAAGTTTTTATTTCTATTCTAAATATTTAGTGAAATGTTTCAATTTGGTGCATATTCGCTGATTTTAAAATTAAAATAAATCAGTACTGGTATGACTATAATATTATAATTATTGTTTAAACCATTAAATTTTGATTCTTTGACATACTGCTTTAACCTTTACTTTTATTATTTTGTTTATAAAATTAAGAAAAAAATCAAAATAAAGAAAATTATTGAATTTATAATTATTATCATAAATCAGTATTAACAAATTAGTATGGTTTGGTTTATTGTTTCGAATAATAGAATAAAGCAAACAATTTTGATTATATGAATTATGATAACTTCAAATGATACCTATGAATTTTTAAGATTGTAAATCCTTAATTATTTTTCTCTTCTGACCTAATATACAATTTTGTATTCCAAGATATCAGGTTTATTAAGATAACCTGTTATGAAATTTATTTGTAAGTAATTATTACACTTAATAATAAATTTATTTGTAAGTTTTGAAAGATTATTGTTATGTGTTTTATAAATAATATAATTATAAATTGGTGTAAACATTAATTTTGCTTGCATTGTGCATTATTGTTTTTACCCTTGCAGCATTAATATTAGACTTTGGACGTTTTGTTTCGAACATGATTTCTTTTTCAGTCGGGGCTTCAAAATGTGCTCTTCAGTATAGGTGCCGGAATCGTTTCAACGATAATGGTTTGGTGCTACTTACATAATCTAAATTCCTATCCTGACGGACCCCCCTATTGCAAATGCCAGTATGAACGATATGTAGAAGAACCAGATTGGTTGGCCATAACAGGTGGATGTGGAGATAAATCTAAAAATCAAGGTGGAACAAATTCTCCATCTTCTTCAAACAATAATTTGAAGAAGTGTGAAACTAAAAAGGAATCTAAATTGATACAAGGAAATGAAAACTGTGATTTAGCACAAGAAAAAATAAGAGAGTTGGAAAGAAGAAATGAGGTGAAGAAGGAGAACTGAAGCTAACCAATTTTTTTTTTTTAATTGTTCCCGATTATTGTGTGATCAAGTAAAAATAAAATGTATTCATAAAATAACAATAAAAATGTCATGTTTTTTAACATCAATTTTGTTGTACATCAAAAAAATAATATAATTGTCTTGTGATATTCCTTCCCTTGCACAAATATTAAAAAACATCTTAGTAAATTTTGCTTATTAATATTTAAACAATACTGAATAATTTTAAAATAATGAATTTTACAACCTAAAATTTGAGCAAAATGTTTTAGTACTTTTTGTAAGTATAGCCTATAAGTATTTTGAAAAACTCTCCATTTGCTCACTTTCATTTAAAAACATTACTGGTGATGTTAAAAATATGTTTGTACAGTAAAATTAAATTATCGATTTGTCAAAAATTGCTGTACTAATAAAATCAGGCTCATATAGAAATTGTAGGAAATTTCAGGATTTGTTAATGTTTTTTCTGTTCCAGTGGAAGCATCCATTTACACTATTTGGGGTTGGAATAAGCACTTTATTCATCATGGCTTGGTACCTAAGAATACAACAGAGACGTGAAGAGCCTATTTGCTCGCCAACAAAACAATGGTACTCTGATCCAGAGTTGTATGAGAGATATGAGGAAGAACCTGATTGGGTGAAAATGGCTGGCAATAAACAAGAAGAGCCCGAAACAATGAAAACAAAGAAAACAGAAGAATCCAAAGAAAAATTTCAGGAATAAAAGAAAAAGCTACGGTTTTACTTACAATGTTTTGAATCAAAGCACTGATTCAATGTGGCAATCAGTCTGATTGGCTTGTACTCTTTAGAAATATGTATTTCAATGTTAACATTGCTATTAAATAAATAATTTGGAGTCTAAAATTACGATAAAATATCTAGGGGTTAGTTATTGTTATTAATACCCACATTATTACAGCACAAACTATATTTGTAAATTAAATTTTAAATTGATTGAATTATAATAATTTAAGATTGGGTTTGGTGAAGCATATCTGAACAGTTATTCTTTTTTATGTTCCATTTAACAAACATTTAACTTAATACATTACAATTTACTATTATTTATATACATATAGTGCATTCTAGGTATTAGTAGCTAGTTTAAAAATTTTGTTTGCTGTTTCGAACATTGTTTGTTTTTCAGTGGGATCAGCCTGGAGTTTGGATTTTGGGCATCGGAGTTGTATCAACTGTGGTTATGTGGTTATACCTAAATAACCAAGCTGGATATGAACCTCGGTGCCCTGGCAAGCCGATTTATCATAAATATTATGAAAGATATGTCGAAGAACCAGATTGGTTGGAAATGACAAATGATAAAGAAAAAAACCAAGATCAAAAAACTTCAGGATTAGACAGTGAAAGCAAGAACTTTCAAAATTTGCCCAATAAAGATATTGCTAAAACCAACCCTTTGAGCGAAATAAGAAATTTTGAAAGCACATCAGGTGATACTGCAACCCCAAGCAATATAGATACATCATCTACATCAAATACTCCTAACAATTTTTCACAATCACCCTTCAAATCGAATTCAGACACTGAAGACAGTAGGGTGGATAATTTTACTATAAAGAAAAATAAAAAAGCAAATCCACGAAGCACTCCTTGAAACAAATCTGAAAGCCGATGAAGAACTTATAGGATAGACACAAAATAGGAAAATATGTAATAAAAAAATCATAATAATACTTTATGGAGGCAATGAGCTTTTATTTAATTTTGTAGTAACCTGAATCAATGCTTAATAGTCATGGATTATTGTGTACCATTTACACAATATATGTTACAATAGTTATTGTACAATAAATTTATAAGAAAAAATATCTACTAATATATTAAAAACAGGCTAAATTAAAAAAAAATATATATATATTGAGTCTGTTATGTAAGGCATGTCTAAAACAAAATATTAATATTTACTTAGGATTATAATCAATTTTCTGTAAATAATAAATTCTCACTTTCTAACCCTTTATATCCCTCACTTTATATCCCTTAAAAAATAACTGCCAAAATTAAATATCTACTTTACATCTACCTTTAATTGTTCAGTAGCTTGGTTTTTTCTAAAATATTTAAAACGATTGCTGATTTTGGTACGAGTGTCATTTTGAAAAATAGAGTCACTAGAATCAACTTTATACATGAAATGTAGCATTTTGATACAACTCAGCACAATAATTGTTTTACTGTGACCTTACTGCATTATCTCCCAAACTAAGTGGAACACTACAGCTGCCAAGTTTTGTTGAGAATCTGAAATAGCTCTTAAACTCAGTGCCCATTTTTCTTAATATGCTCAAATTAGATGTGAGAAGAAAACATTTATAATGTGATTATTTATATTCGATTTTTTAAAGTTTTAGTTGGAATGAAATATCATATGATTTAGCTTATATAACTAGTTGCAGAATTAATTTTGGAGTAAAGCATGCTTAAATTTGTATTTTATATAATTTTTGTGACACTGTTGTGTTTGAAAAAATAAATGAATATTAGTTAAGGGTGTTATTTAACACGACTATAATTAAGAAAATAAACACTTATAATTTGCAATGTTATTATTCACATTGCATGCAAGAAAAGAAAATACTTTTTAATTGACTAAGTAGGACTGAAGGACATTTTCCTTCCTATAAAAAACAAGTACACATTATGCTGTCTACAAACCAAAGTAATTTAGCTATTGTAGCACACAAAATAATTGTTAAAATATGATTCAATTGTTCATTTTTCAACAGCACACATTGTCAAGTTATTTTTTAGACACTATGCACACAAAATTCTGAAATGTCAAGGCCTAAGAAGCGAAGAAAAATGTTATTCAAAGCAATGACAGATCGACGCACAGAAGCAGTGCTTCTCCGATGCTCCAGCTTACAAAAACCACTCACTAATGAACAGCACATATAAAGCCAAGATGTAGACGACAATATATATAAAAAAGGTGCAATGGATGAATGTGTATGTAAATTTTAAACTAATTTGTTTAACAAGTATGATAAGAATCTGACACATTTCAGTTTATTAAGTAATAATTGACAGATGTCTTTCCTCAAATCTTGTTATGGAATCATATTAATGTTATTTGATTTTTTCACTCAAACCATGTGTAGCATGTTCAATTATTGCCATGTGACTGTTAAAATATTTCCTAAATTATTTTTTTATTTGCAAAATTTTATTTGGCTTTATACAATTATATTCAAGAAAAATAAATGGTACTAAATTGATTAAAGTTGTTATTTACATTATGCAGTAAATTTGGCTATAATAAATATTCCTTGTTAAAAAAATGGCAGATGTCATCCATAATTATGTTGTACAATGATTAAAGGGTCTAGCAAAATGATTTTTTTAATGTACAGAAGACCAACTTGATAAATGAATGAACCTTGCTATTCATTTTTTATATTACAAAAATTAAAAATGACATCAAATTAATAATATAAATACAAATTTAATTAGTTAGTATTATTATTGGAAAATTATAGAAAGAATTACTTTTGTTATCCTTAAAAAAATAAGGTAATCAATGATTTTCAAAAATGAGCACATTGGTTGTTAAAATACAGGACAAACTTAGAGGCCGCAGTGGCAAATGATTTGAGTGTCTAACTTGAATTTGCCACACTTGTAGTCCTAGGTTTGTCCATGTTATTCCGCAAATAAGTAGATTTGAAAAATGTAACAAACTCTGGTCGAATGTACAATTGTATTTTTTACATATCTAGGTTTTACATTCCAAGAATTATTGGACAATTCTTCATTTTCAACTTAACTTTTGAAACCTTATTCAATCTTGATTTCTTTCTTTTTTTCAGCCACCTCTTGTTTATATACTCATTCTCATGAATGTAATTGGAATAATATTATATGGAGTGTGCAGCACTTATCGGAGTATGAGAGGTCTCAAGCCTACATGCCAATCTAGGGCAACTTCAGCCCCAGAATCATTGACAAGTGACAGATCATTGTCATCAGAAAACAATAGCTCGTTAAGTAGCATTTCTCAGTCTACATCAAATGTGAAAAGTACATCAAAAAAATCCACATCTAAGCCAAGACGTTCGTTTTCTAAATCATCAAAAAGTACTGTTCCTCCCACACCAAAGAAAAGACATTTGAATAAATTAAATCAAAATTTTATTCCTTCAACACCAAATTTAAATAATAACCATAAATCATCACAAAATAATCTTACACCTACTCAAAATTTTAATTATATTCAAAAATATTCAGAAAATGATAATATTCCTACACCAAATTTAAATAATAACCATAAATCATCACAAAATAGTCTTCCCCCCACACAAAATTTTAATTATATTCATAAATCTTCAGAAAATGTTATTACTCCTACACCAAATTTAAATGATATTGATAATTCATCACAACATAGTCTTCCTCCTACACAAAATTTAAATTATATTCACAATTCTTCAGAAAATGTTATTACTCCTACAACAAATTTAAATTATATTCACAAATCATCACAAAATGTTCTTACTCCTACACCATTTCAAATGGGTTCTACTGAATCAATTGAAAGTTCTCCTCCTACAACAAAGAAGACTGCTATTCCTCCTTCAACAACATTATATCCTAACGCTGATCCATATTATATATGGGAACATAGAGAGAAAACAGGCAAAAGAGAAGAAATTCAAACCTATTTGTCAACTGATAGTTTTTATGACTTCCCTTCTGCATTAACATTTCTTCACCAGTTTGAGCCTTTTCTTGCAAAGCCGACATGTCCACCAAGCAGAGTAACTGACCCACTGAGCTGTTATGGAAGAGACTATAGTCAACAACCTTTAAAGCGTAAATCAAGAGATTACAGTCAACGACATGAACATGTTAAAACTGCCATTCCGAAAAAGTCAAAAACCTTTAGTAAACCTTCCACTGCAAATTTTTTTCCTCCTAGGAATCATTACCAAACAGAAACCATACAAAAAAAGACCAACTCTTATGCTGAAAGATCCCAAATTAATTCTCGATCGTCTGTAACATTTACCCCAACAAAAGTCAAACAAACATCACCAAAAGAAACAGGAACACAGTCAGAAGAAAGCGAGAGTGTAGTAAAAGAGATTCAGTTATTTACTATAGTTCATGAAGGAAAAAGTAAAAAAAAGTATTCAGATTATGTGAAACCAACAAAACCTGAAAATATTACACCTCTTACAACACAACCATCTGATAATAGAAGTCCAACAAAAAATCGCTTTTCAGAGTTTCTATTTCCATCAAAAGAGGAACAATTTTTCAAGAATACATCCCACAGCCCCCTTCCAGAAATTCCTCCAAATAGCCGATTCTCAAGCTTAGGTGACACACTCCCCCCTGCACATACTAGTATTAAATCTTCTTCCTCTTCCCCTCTGAAATTGAAACAAAACGAACAAGGAAATCCTACAGAAAATTCATCAGACCTACCTAACGTACCATTGAATTTACAACAGACTTCTGAAAGATCTAGTAGCCTGTCAGAAATTAGACCCCCAAAGAAATCTAGTTTATCCCATGAAGGATACAGGGAAAGAAAATCATCTCTGGGATCGAATGTGCGATTTTCCATTGACAACTCAAGAATTGATTCATTTTCAATAAATCAAAAAAGCAGTGTAAAAAATTTAGAAGAGACAATAAAAGATTACAGTACCGATAGCATATTACAGAATGAAAGTAATCCGAATAAAGACAGTGAAACTAGGGACAGCAGACAAAGTGATGAACAAATAAAATCATTTAAAAGTAAAACCCTTTTAAGACCTCCAGAAACTCTTCCACCAAAACGTGATAGAGCTGATTATTTTCGTTCATATAATGAAGCCGTTACAAAAAAGCCTCAAATTCGATTGTCTGATGTTGCCACACCAGAAGTTTCATGCTTCGGAATGATTTCTACAGACAAAATAATACATGAAACTAAATTTAAAGCACCATTTAAAAAGAAGAAGGTAACTTCTACTGAACAAGAAGTACGAGTATGTGAAGTAATTAAACCTATTCCTGACTTGATGTATAATCCACAACAAGAAGATGAAAAGAAAAAGAAGGATGGTGAAGATCACAGTACAGACAGTAGGCACTAATCAATAACATTAAGTATAAAATTATAATAATAACAAATGTTTTAATTTGTGTGCTTACTTTTTTATTCTGCTCATTAATAATTGGGGAATAACAATTGTTTTAAAAATAATTCTTTTATGATCACTGCATAACCACACATAATTTAAAATTCATATGTACAGGGTGAGTTCAACTTATGTTCCCCCACTATAATTTCTTTAATGGGGCATTTTTGGAAGAGCTTTTAAAAACGGTTTACATCGTTGAATTCAGAATCAAAAAATCTTTCAAAAATGTATGTTAATGAGTATGTTGCCATTTAAAATAATTAACCTTGTACTCCTATCCCGCTATCACAGAGAGTTAAATAAAACTTTAAAAATAAAAGTTTAAGTGACGAGGTTTTTCTCAAAAATGCCTCAATAAAAAAAAATATAGGGGGGAACAGAAGTTAAACTCACCCTGTATATTAGAAAATATTGGGATATATATACATACTTACATACTTAATGGGCTTTTTGTATATATATNTTTTTTTTTTTTTTTTTTTGACAAAAAGCCCATTAAGTATGTAAGTATGTTGGGTTTGAATGCAGTGGACCACATTCGAACCTGGGACCTTTACTTACAGTGACGAGTGCCGTGTAACTGTAGTGGCCACCACACCCATCATTTTAAATTTGTCTTTTATTATGATCTACAAAGGATTGCACAAATTCATACAACAATATATTAACATATCATTTATTCTATACTCATTTTTTGAACATGAGAATAAATAATTATTATTCTTATCATACTGAAAAACTAAATTCAAGTGGATCCACTCATATTGGATCTGTATATATAATTGATGATAGCACTGTAGTGTTCCATGGGTGGGATCTTTCCCACGAGGAATGGGATAGAAAATCAATTTCAACATTTGCATCTTTACAAATACGCTGAGAATGGGTGCCAATAGCATAAATCCCAGAGGTACATAAAAATATGTGCATTGAGTATTCTTTGAAAGGATCAAGGGTTGAAATTGTGTTGAACAAAATTTCTGCTTTGCTGTTATACTTAACATGGCCGTATAGGCTCCCTTCGGTGAAATAATCTTGGCTGTTTGCCATGCCAACTTTGACCATTATATTTTCCTTGTACTCCCCAGGCATATCATTTATTTGAAGATTGATCTAAAATTTAAATGATAAATAAATAAAATACAAATATTTCAAACAAAGCTATGTAATTGCATTAAATTTGTTAGTTATTTGAATATTTAGAAAAATTTGGGAAAAATTTTTTCTTTACTTCTAAATCAATATTTTCAGTAAAAGTGTAAAGTGAAAAACAACATTTTTGTTCTTGGCTAGAATTCAGACTTACCACAACTCCAATTAGATCGATTGAAGTGTTGACTGTAAAAATTGAAGTGAACCATTCACTCCCATCAAACCTTGCTTCTCTCTGATCCTATAATTATTTTAAAATAAATCACTTTAAGCTGATTTTAGAGTAAAACATAAATTGTTTGGGTTTCACTTGTATGTCAAGGGTTGAAATCGACTTGGCTTTACATGGTTTCCTTTTTATCTTCTTTTCACACAGTCCATTTTCCATCGGTGGAAAATCTGGCTTAATAATACGCATAAGAACAGCAAGTTTCTCACTATCATTCAACAGTCGTGAATCTGATATCCCAGTAAAAAATTCATTTTGGGATACAGTAAGTAACCTCAATTTTGTTATTAATTCGTTAGCAATAATTTTTGGTGACATAGTGTCTAAAAAACTTCTGTTAGGATTTAATTTTATCATACAATTGTTAGGATCAAATACCTTTTTTTGAAGAATTAAAATTAGCCCATTTATCAATTGCTTTTATTAATTCCATTTCTGAAGAGATATTCAGCCTGTTCAAATCCAAAATTGTATTTAAAGTTGTGAATGATGCATAGCAAAATGCTTTACTTTGTAAAATGTTGGATGTGTTTAGTTGAATTTCCTGAATCGACAGAAAGTATAATTAATATTAAATTTAATTACTTTTTGTTTGTTGTTATAAATTCACAGGATTACATAATAAACACCTTTAGGCAATGTTTGGCCAGATCATCTTCACCATGGAATTTTGCAAATTCATATAAATGAATTACATTTTCATGATTGAGACACTTTTTCATATACATGAGACAACTTTGTTGAAGGGGTAGAATTATATATTTTTGTGCTGCATTGTATACTTGACAGGCATGCTTGTAATTCGTTAGTTCCAATTTATCTTCATAAATATAACTGAAATTAACAAATAAATAAAAAAAAAATGTAAATGTTATGTTTATGACATTTAAAGTATGATCAAATAGGAAAATATTCAATTTTTTAGAAATGTTAAAAGGGTGATATTTCTACCTGTTGTTTGGTAAAATGTGACCTTGCGACGTGATAAACCCTTGTTACTTTTAATTTTTGTACTTATTAATCTACCGTAAATCAAATTTTAAACAAAATCTTACCCTAACATGTCATGAAAAATATTCTCTTCAATATCTGTAATGATAATTGGTTTGTCTGGCTGAGGGAGCTGGCCATAAAACATTGTGTAGAACACTGGACTTGTACTTGCCAAAAAAAGTTTGTGACACTTTATCTATAAAACAACCAAAATTAATTGTATTTTTTGAAGAAAAAAAGTTTCTTGTTACCAACCTCTTCTCCACTTAGAAGGAAAGTGCAGTCACAAAGAATTTGATTGTGCAAAAGAAATTTTGCCCGTTGCGCCAAGCTTTTCACATTATTTTGCCAATCGTCCATTTTTCAAAGGGAAAAACAATGTTCGATAACCTATAATTTTTCCCCTTTAACTGGTAATAGTAACAATACGTCCACTCTTGACCCACTTGCTTCTTATTATTCAAATTTGCATGTATGAATTCCTACTTATTTTGCATTGTCATTGTTTAAATGCCTCTATATGTAAATGGATTATCTTTACTTACTCAGAAGCTAGGGTGAGCCATTATTTTTTATTTATTTTTATTAAACAACCATATTATTTTTACAAATTTATCAGTAAGAGTATCAATGTAAGAATGAAACAAAGTGTTAAATTGTACCTAACAATAGGAAACAATTCTTCTGTTCTATTAATTGTTCAAAAACATTAAAAAAAATCGTTTATACCATTAACAAAAATGCTACTCTTATAAACTATGCTACAATTATTTGTAAAAAAGGTTTAATTTGTTTTTTAAATTGATTGTTCGATTTATGTTCCAATCTGGCTATGTACTTTGCTTTTAACCATTTTGTCTTTTATATGGCAATGGGTTATATTAAAAATAGATTTTTATTTTTTTTATTTGTAAAATTTTAAAATGAAGATAGTCTGTTATTTTCATAATGTTTTAATCTCTCAATAATGCTACCTATAATTGAATATGGCACGTATCCAGCCCAATAAACCCATGTATATAAACTGTAGATTTTGAAATAAATAAAGAAATAACGAGCAATCTTAATTTTAAAATTGTACAAATAAAAAAACAAACTATTTTTAATACAGCATTTAATATAACACATTGCCAAAATAATAAAATATATACATGGGTTGGGCTTCAGCGGCTGGCTATCAACAGCTAGGTCATTTCAGCCCCCAATGCAATCAGTTCCTACATTCAAATACACTCACCCTTAAATACATTCCTTCCTATTTACATATCATTCAATCAGTTAGGTTGTTGGAGTACTTCATATCTCTCCATCACCCTCCACACATATTGTAATATATACGACTGTGGTGACTTACACCTTATCACTTACACCAGCAGATTGTAAATAGAGACAAACGAATTGTACAAAACTTTTGAATAAAGAAAAATGAGAATCCAAGGTAGCCACTTCCCACTCCTCCAAAATCATACCTCCCAAATACCTCCGGTACCAAGGATCAAGAAAGAGTTTTTGTAAAAAGTAAAAACCCAGTCACTAATTTCTATCCAGCAAAAGAGGAGACTTGTCCTTCGGACCGGCAAAGAATTCGGCTCAACCTCATCAGATACATCTCGCCCATATTTTCACTGGCTCTTCTCAGAGCCACGCTTGAGTTACTCAAGGAACTAGGGTTTCCACTTTGAAGACTAGAAAGGACCCACGGGTCGTACGAGCTCACGATCTCCGGGTGCCTGGTACAGTCGGACAGGTGGAAGCTCTGCCTCTCACGGTCTGCCAAAAGCCTCCTCGCTGGATCTACAGAGCATACCACTTAGGAGTGCCCTTCTTGCCTGCCTGAAAGGGGTCTTGTGCCGTAGAGCTCACGGTTGCGGGCTTCCCGGTAAGGCAGAACAGTTGGGACCTTCCTGGGTACAATACCGGCCCTTGTGAGGGCCCGCAAGGTTCAACGGCGACTCGGAAGGACCCCAACAACGACTAATATAATTGAGAGTCAATGTGTACTTCCATCTGACCTCTCACACTACACATTCACGCTAATAAATATATTCAGTCTCAATATACACCAAGGAACTCAAGACGAGGTATCTTTGTAGTACTATGTAGAGTAAAACGTCTGGGTTTCTTTACAAATTGGAACAGGGGACCCAGACACATGCTGCTATGTCCAAGCATAATTCTTATATGCTTCTCTATATGGAGTGAAGGAATGGCACACTTCAATTAGGTGGGAAACATTAAGCAGTTATTTTCTAAATGCTAAATGCTTAAGCGGCACTGATGTTTCTATTTTCTTTCAATCATGCTTTTTAATGAATTTTTAATTGAGGGCCGGATTGTGGTGGTTCGGTCTGGAGTTTAAAATAGATCAAATTTTGCCCCTTTACTTTTGCACTCTGGGGGCAATTTTGCCCTTTTGAACTCTCTGCAATACATTTTCTCAATCTGGTGAATCTATATGAAAATAGTTTTAGCAAAATTTGCAGCTTTGATGTAATGCAGAGTTGCACGAACTATGCAACATACATTGAAAATATACACTCAAAGATAGAGGGTATTTTGTTGTTTATTTAAAATTATATGTTTTTTAAAAATCAGTATATGTACTACAACATACTTATTTTAATGTAAACCAAATAAAGGAAGTCAGAAATGCATGAGTTTTAATAAAATATTTAATTATGATGGTTTGAAACAAAATTCACCAAAAGACCGTAAAATAATTTAATGATAGACTAAACTGTTAGTTATTTTTAATTATTACTCAATGATTTTCCAGTGTTTCTGTTAATTTTCATTCAAACCATCATAATTAAATAATTTTGATTAAAACTCATGAATTTCAGATATTTCATTTGATATACATAAAATTTAGAATGGGGTAACTGGTTGTAATTAATATAACGATAAAATTACATATATTTGTTTGTTACACCAGTGTCCTTTTTTGTCTTTAGAATATCAACCAAAATTTAATCTAGTATTGCAAAATGTTTTTAAATGTCAACATTAAATTTAGGTGGTTACGCTTTAATATTGCGACTTCAAACTTGACTGAATATGTTAAAAGTAATGTAAATTATGCTGTCAGCAAACATTGTTATAAATTAACTTAATAAAGTGTTACAGAAATAAATTTAAGTTATTATGGCATTGTTGCTTAGCTTAGAATCAAATTGATAATATTGGAATACATATAAGCAAAGTCCTATTGGTTTTTTGATCAGGATAATTTTTACTCTACCAAAATGGTTCATCGCTAAATCTGGTTCATATCAGTACTTAGAAAGGTTTCAATCAGGAATGTTCCACACACAAAATGCAGATTTTCCTTTCTTTAATGTGTGTCCTAGACATTTCTTATCCAGAACAAAAATCCTTTCTCCAAGCAGTAGCATTGAATGAAATATGGCGACCAGATTTCATAGTTGCCCAATAACAGGAAGTTATTCGTTCAACCAAATTCATATATGTACTAACCCTGAATTGCTAGGTGAAAAACAGAGCATTTTATTAATTTTTTCATATGTTGGAAAATAAGATATTTTAGATAATTGAATAAGAATAAGAATAATTTATTTACAAATAAATATAAATATGTAGAAAAGTGTGATATAGATGTTTCAGGCTTCCTGTCTATATACTATCGAATAATAAGTTGTACAATTTAAAAAGAATTATTTATTTGTAAAGGAAAAAATAAAATAAAAAACCCTAACAAAACAGATAATTGAATATAATTAGATAATACATTGGTAGTGAGGTTTTTGCAATTAAGAAATAAAAAAAGTTTATCTAGCATCTATAAATCAACCATTTTCGTATTGATCTTAAGATCGGGAGATGTCGGTAAAAAGCGGTTCTTACTTCTGAAGTGCTGGGTGCGTTTATTTGCTCGGTCACGCCGAAGTTTGTTGTTGGAGGTAGTTTGCGGTAGATCCGGGGATCTCATTGCCAAACTTAACATGAACTTCCTCTTATACTAACTCACTAGGATAAAGAAGCTTATCGTAAGGCCCTATTGAATTGGACGGTAAATAAATGCGGCCCCAATATCCTCTATCCAGAGCTTCCTTTTCAACCTGGGCTTCGCGAAACTTTTTCCATAATTTTTAGCAGCTGGAATACACGATGCAAGACTCAAATTTATCTGTTATTAAGCGAGTTGAGTTCAATTATATTCTAAGCAAAATATTTGTATGATGTATTAAATCTGATCTAAGGTGGGAGTCGAGAAGACAAATCCAGGTCAGCCGATGGTAATAAAATCGTTGTAAAAATACAATAAAATTTGAAAGACCGAGATAAAAAGAGGAGAAATGCGACGTGAGAAACGGCAGTAAAATGTTAAAGCTGTAGGAAAAAAACGGGCCCGTGCGAGAACCGTGAAAAGCAATCTTTGTATACGTGCGATATTGTCATTTCATGGCTCAGATACCAGCGGGCGTCCCGAAGATCAATAAACGATTTAGTCGTCGTATACGATTTATGGAAAGATGACAGATGCAGCGAACGTTTTTAAACATGCTAACTTTTCACCATTGGAGTTTCTATATTCATGGATTAGAAAACAATTTTCCAACCTAAAATAAAATGATTGTTCAAGCTAAACAAATTCCTCATACATCATCCTTTAACCATCGACAAATTTTCTTTATAAATGTCATGTTTATCATCATCACATCGACTACTCCCACAATCAATAATTTTTATATAAAGCATTTATTTGACAATTTCGATCATCCTGACCGTCCTATTCTCAATGGTTTAAACTATCAATAGTTTTCTTCTTTTGTCAATCACAGTGAAGGTGGTGAAATGCTAAAAAGCGTCAATACCGGGACCAGGATGATTGGAAACCTCAACCTTCTATCAATTTTTATTCTTCGTCTATTCTTCAAACAGATTTTTTCCGCAGAAAATTATTAGGAAAATAATCGTGATTATTGTGTAATTTAGAGTAAATTTTTATGTTTTAGCTTAAGTTGCACAAATTTATATATTTATTTCGATTTTGACGTTTACCAGACTTTGCTATAGAATTTATATAAAATAAAAATGTAAACATATGTCAAACATTTTAAACTAGAATGATACAACGCGCATATTTCAACTGTATACAAGGAGTTATGACGTATATCTAACATTACGTATTAAAAAAAGAACATACATAATTACTAGCCAAATTATAGCAAAACGATCACATTCACTTGCATAAAATAATGTAAACAATATCTCTTCATAAATTATTTTTCAAACCAGACGGTGAACTTAAAAACTAGGGAAATAGTAACTGTTTAATAAAGTTTGCCCTGAATTGCGTTTTGTAAAATGAAGAGAACAAATACTTTAAAATCACGTTCTCTTGAGAAAACTGTGCGTTACGTATAATTTTTCAAACGTTACGAACACATCGGTGCAAAATGCCTACGATTATTTCCCTTAAACCATTTTCGATGGAAAGTGTTGACTTTAAAAATAAAGGGGAATGAAAGATTACGAAAAAATCTCTTTTGTCTAATATAAAAATCCACTATGGAACAAAACTACTCAAATCACATTAATATTTTAACAGTTTTGTTATTATATTATTTAAATACAATAATAAAGAATCAAACCTTTAATAGTGAAAATTTTGCTCAACTAAGTTCAAGAAAGACAATTTTTAAAAAATTAAGATGGTAATCCCTGCTTATTTCTGACCGATCGAAAATCCATGAACAAAGAAAGTCGAAAAACATTTTGCTCAACTAAGTTCAAGAAAGACGATTTTTAAAAAATTATGATGGTAATCCCTGCTTATTTCTAACCGATCGAAAATCCATGAACAAAGAAAGTCGAAAATCGTTAGAAAACACCAAATTATATTTTAATTTTCTATTATTTACTCAGTACTTTCACACTCTTTCTTTACTAATGTTCTCTTTCTATCTCATTTCCCTTTTCTTTTTTCTCATCTCTAGTCTTTCTTTTATCACCTTTTGTTTTTAAGCTTTATACACTTCTCTCCTCTCTCACTCACTCACTCTCTCTCTCTCTCTCTCTCTCTCTCTCCCTGTCGCTCCTACTTTCTTTCATTATTACTATGTCCTCTTTTTTCCAATTTCTCTTTTTTCTTCTTTCGATATACTTCTCTAGATTTTCTTTTTTCATTTGTTTAATTCACAAGCTTTATACAAGTTCTTTCTTACCTCACTCATTCTCTTTCCCTCCTCTCTCTTCTCTCTCTCTCTCTTCCTTTTTTTAATAATATATTCTCTTCCTTTGTTGAGATTTCAAATTCAACACATTTTTTCTGTTTATCATTCTCTCAAGCTCTATTTTTCTCACTTGTTCCCTTTTACTCCTTTTATCACTCCATCTATTTTGAGTTTCTCTCTTTCTCTCTCTCTCTCTCTCTCTCTCTCTCTCTCTCTCTCTCTCTCTCTCTCTCTCTGTTTTTTATCTTTTATTATTTTGTTTTTCTGCATTACCTATTATCATTGTTTCCAGTTAACCATTTTTTATATAATTACCTTCCTAAATTATAATTATGTATCAGAAAAATATAGTTACTTTTATAATTATGTATATGTATGCAGTAGAAAACATATATATGTATGTAGGTCAGAAAATTTTTTAAAAATTAATTACAAAAAGAAAACAGAAAAACGTTCACAAAGCCGAGTGATATCTGAAACTTTAACAATCTTTAATTTTATTTATTTGTGTTCATTAACTCAATGTTGTAATTTATATTTGGTATGTGGTTCATTGAACCATTACATATAAGTTTTTATTGAAAGGTGCAATAAAGGTATAAAACGATAGCTAATGTTTCCAACATAACCGTTAGAATGCGTAGGGTATACGAAATCGTGTTGACATGGCGAAACATTTTAGTGAGCTTGGCGAACAGTGAATATCAATTGTACTTATTTTATTTATTGTAAAAGCTATATTTCTAATGTTAAATAAATTCAAAACTACTGAAAACTAAAAATTATAGTGGTGCATATGACGCTGAAAAGATATAATCGGGCTAAAATATGACCTATAATATAATAATTAAAGCACAGTTAAAAACCAATCATAAAAAATAATTAATCTATAATAATAAAAATATTGTTAAAGGTAATGGTCAAACATTTTTCGTGGTTTTATCTTTAGAAGAAAAATATTTCAGTTAATATAAACTCATATTTATTTCCCATTTATCTTTATCTCTGGCCAACTAATTCCTCATATTCCGGTTTTGTCAATATCATCCAATGCTTTGAAATGTTGCTAAGAGATATAGGTTAATTAAAACAGAATGTAAGTGAAACGAACGTTTTTTTCCCTACTGAAAATTAAAATGTCTGTATTTAAAGTAATTGTTTTTAATAATAACACAAGTTAACAATACGTAATCAACATTAAAGAATAACTAAAATTGAAGTGTAAAAAACATTTTTAAAATCCAGTTATTCTAGAAATTTTTAGTACGCTTTATAATAGAGTTTTTAAAAATTCATCGTGAAAATAATCATAATCAAGAAAATAATAAACAATATATGCTAGAAAATATTATCGGCTAAGAATTATAGTCAAATTAAAAGTTTAAAACGTTATTTATTAGTCATTACTGTACCTAAATATAAATCAATAAATCAATCTCAAACAATTATAAAACACTTGCTGAAGCATTGAGTGACATAATCACAAATTTTCAAATCATGTTTGCCTTATTTTTAAATGAATTACATAATCAGCCAATAATTAACTATACGATCTTTGTAACGCACCTAATTTGGCAAGACTGGTTGTTGAAGTGATCCTAGCTAAACTTTGAGAGATTTCTCCTGTGATCGGCAGTTTGATGAACCTGTAATTTGGTAGTTTCCGACAGTTCCACGTGCTGTGTGATTTCTATGAAGACAGATTCAGTACAATTTGAAATAATTTATTTTCCCAGGTTGACCATTATTTAATCTTTAAACAAGACATATTCAAAATGAGCCCGCAAACGGGGAAAATTATGACTAACTATTGTATCACGAATCTTAAGTATAAAATGTTTCTAACAAGAGTAGATACGGTCCTAGGATCATCGAGTTTTAATGAACTTTTTTTGATGATATTAGATCGAGAAATATTTCCCAAGCATTCTTGCCAATGGGCCCTAGGAGCCGAGAAACTTTTGAAAAGCTACTTTAATTATTTTTTAAACTTGTTTTTCTGCTTTTGTTGTGCATGTATGTTAACGTTATTATAAGCTGTATCACACCTTTCTTTTAAGGTAAGAAAATCATAATATAATAAGAATGGGACTAATTACAAAAAATATTACAATAACGAAAAACGCTTTCAGAAAATTATGTCAAAAAATTGGATATTTAGAAAAAATTAGGATTCTTTTTAAGAACTCTTTAAGGCCTTCAATATGAACTTACAGAAAACCAAAAAATATATATTTTTGGGTTGGATCCGCTGCGAGCATTTTTTAAAAGCCCTTCACATAAAAAATCTATAAATTTCTGAATTGCATGTAAAGTATTATAGCTTGGAAAGGTGCATTTATCTTATTTGAGCCTATCTCAGTAAATTTTAGTTGGTATACCATTATAAGTGAAAAAATAAGGAAGAGATTAACAAAAACTCCTCACGTGTTAAATCTGAGGGCGCACTACTATTTTTCCAGTTGATCAGTGGAGTCGTTTGAAACTTATTCATTTTTGTTGTTTTCCAAAAAAGTTTTCGAAGGCAATAACTTGTAAGAAAATTTGATTTTTTCAAAATTCTGTAATCAAAAGTTAATGGGGTGCAAAAAAATGAATATTAACTTTGTTTCTTGAAAAAAAAAATTCACCTACTTTGCTATATCGATCGGCCACTAGCCAAAATTATATTTGAAAGCTAGCCATAGCATTTGTATCGTAGATATCACAATACACAATTTATTGCTTGAAAAACAAATCGGCTGGTTTATAAAACTTTTGCACGCAGGTAATATAGTTTGTAAAATGATTTAAATTATTATGGCTCATTGGTAAAAATACACATGTCTTTTAACCCAGTATCAACAAAAAAGTTTCTTTAAAATGAAAGATCCCACGT